TCGGAACAAAATGTCCGCGCACTTGGAAAAAGGTAGATCTCCACTGATTGCGCCTCCAGGGTTCCCGCATCGCCCGCACCAAAACAGTCACTATATGTGGATATGCTTCGGGTTCCGCTTCGCAGAAACCGTTTCTGGGGGGAGGCGAAAAATGGGCCCATTCAAGGGACATCCTGAAAGTATTCCTCTAAGGGTGGTAAGGGTCCCTCACCACCCCCCCCCCGCCCCCCACCCAATTTTCCACCTGAAAAAAAAAGAACCAGCCAAGGAAACCACTCCAAATGCCCCAAGAATCAACGAGGACAACTTGACCAGAAAATCCCCGCCTGGAGGACCCAGACCTGATCCGCTGGAGTGAGAGTGTGTCTTGAAAGCCGCGCGAACCGAAACGAAACCCAGAAACCACAACCCAACCCGCCCGGCTCCCAAAAGGTACCTCAGATTTTCGCAGAAATTTGAGGAATCTGCAATTGACGAATCCCCTTGAACTAAACCCGAAACCGTAAATATGGGGTACCAAGGGATCCTCTGGGCCAGAAACAAAACATGGCGTTGTTCGTGTCTCAGGCCGACCAAACTTTTGCGAAAACTGCCAAGGTCGGGTTTTCTTTGCTACTTTTAGTGGTGCTCCAAACAACGAACACCGATACGATATCTTGTTTGCTACTTTTAGTGGTGGTCCAAACCCAAACAGTTGCCAAAAGTCAACGGGAAAAAAGAGGGTGTTTCCGTTGCTACTTTCAGTGGCGGTCCAAACCCAAAAGTGGCAAAAAAACCGGCAAAAAAAAAACACGCCGGGGCCCGGTGTCCTTTGCCGCGCTGGGTGGTGTTCCAGACCCACGTGGGCTGAAGTCGTAAGCTTCGGACTTCGGCAACTAGGTCAAATGTCCAGAAGAGCCGGGGAACTCGAGCTGCAAAGAGCTCAGCCCCGGGATTCGGCCAAAGTCAGGTCCTCTAAACCGGATGCACCTCCCCAGTTTGGGGGGAACACATCCACCAAAAGACGTCAACCAAAAACTTGCCTTACAGTCACATCTTTCATATATATATATATATATACTTATTTCTTTCTTTCACCTGTTAGGTTCGACCTGTTTGAACTCTTTCGGAAGGCGTCATTCCCTTCTGTCCCCCGCCCTGTTCGGAGGAAGTGTCCACTTCTTGGCGCTCCGTTCTTCCGCCAGGACCTCAAGTGGCTTCCAGCTGAAAAAACAAAAACAAGCAATCAAGCAAGCAATCAAGCAAGCAAGCAAACAGACAGAGAGACAGACAAACGAACGAACGAACGAACGAACAAACAAACCAACAAACAACGGTGCCATGTTTCACGCACTTGCCGCCTGGACAGAGGTTCACCGTCTGGAACCTTGACTAAAACTAAACAAAGGGGAAAGACAGAAAGGTCCGCTGAAGCGTTCGCTTTGGGCCGAGCGTTTCCCTGAACCCAAAATTACTCGGCCGATTGGTTCTAAGCTCTAACCCAGGCTAGGTGGGGTAAGCCAGGGGGGGTTCAGGTGCCAGAAGGCCCCAAAAAAACGAACCCAGCCATCCCCCGACAACTTGGGCACCGAACAGGTCCGCCTCCCCCTGAACCGGAGCATGTCTTCAGCCAAGCGCCAAGGATTTCAAAGGCCTTTCTGGGCGAGCTTTTGCTTTTGGGAGGGATCTCTTGAAACGGGTTCCACATGTTGATTTCTCTCAGCCATTATATAGTGTGGGCCAATCCGAATCCGTTTGGATCGAGTGGTTGGGTAGCTTCCCGCACCAGAACCCAGGAAGTTCAAATCCAAAGCCAAACCATCCAAAGCCAAACCACCAAGAAAGCTGATAGCCTGAGGCAAGCAGTAAGGATCGCCTTTGAACAGCCCAGCAAAACAAGCCGCCCATGCCCTCACTGGTTTTTTTTACACGCAACAGTCGCCAGCTGATTCGCCCAAACCGAATCGCCACAAAGTTCTCCTCGAAATCCTCTTGTTCCCCTCTACCGCCCCCCCAAAAAAATGAAAAATAAAAGAAAGTACCATCAAACCAAAGCACCCACACATGATGAATTCACAAAAAGGGTGTACAGCTAGGGAAGTAATGGTCGGCTTGAAGTACCGAGATAAGTTCTCAAAATGGATCCCCTTAAAAAGGCCCACAGCGATTGTGTGTGTGTGTGTGTTTTGCCGCCAAACCTGTTCCTCGCATCATTTCACCCATTTAGCAACCGGTTGAAGGACAATCAGCAACATGGGCTTTGTTTTCACCAGCGGACAACCAGCAGCGTTGTTCGTAAATGTCTTCTTTTCTGTTGGGGTCAAGGTTGACATTGCTCGAAGATCGTGAAGGAACATGCCCCTCTCTCCTACTGGATGTGACGTGCTCAGGAGAACAAGACAGCCCGCTCGGCTTTTTTTTTCCCCAGCCACCCAATCACTCACCCACGGCGCCCATGAAGAAGCTGGGTCCTGCTCTTGGGTTCCCTATAATCCATACAGGGTTGGAACCTATTGGACACCATTTTGGACAAAAAAAAATGCCATCCTTCCCTGTATCAATTTGGGGCTCTCTTTTTTTTCGGTGCCCTTGGTCTGTTTAAAGACCAAGCAGAACATCCACCATTCTTCTAGCGCTACCTCCCCCATTCTTTCCAGGGATCCTTCTTTCTAGAAAACCTCCGGAAACCCAGGTTGAAAACGGATCCGGTTTTCGAAAAGAACGATGGTTGGAAAGAATGGACAAGGAATCAACCCTTAGAATTCCGGGAGCTCCGATGCCCCGAAAAAACGACGAGCCGCCCAATTGTGAGGTGCACTGGGCCCCAAGGAGTCTCAGCCCCGAGCTGGAAGTCTCCCACCGACGGAGACTAAGGGGCCCAACGGGTCGTCTATGTGGGTGTCCCTTTTTGAGGGCACCCCATTTTTCTACGGGTGCGGATTGATTTTGGGATACCAAAAAAAACGAGGAAAAGATTTTCTAGCTCCAAAGGGAAACCAAAAGGCAAACCACCATTGGGTTTAAAAGACGAGCCACCCATTTGCTTTCCCAAGACAACCTGAAAAGGTGACCTCACCCTCGAAACCATTTGAGTCACAATCAAAACCCGGCATTAGAATGGTTGACCCAGAGCCATGTAAAGAATTAAGAAGGCGGATGTCCGCAGCTATTTATGTCCCTCCCTCATCTACCCAGGATCTACCCAGGTTTTGATTGTGGCTCATTTATAGGGATGCATCGGGATACGAGTGAAACCTCAAGCTCGCGCCTCATCCGCCTCGGCCTGCGCTTTCTGTTTGGCTTCCATTGGGTGGCTCGTCCAAGTGTTTTTTGAGACAGAGCTTTGGGCAGAAAAGCCGAATCTTTCAGATGACACACCTGAGGCAATCAAGCATAGACCAGCATTTGGGTTTGTCTCAAGGGAACCCCCAAAAAGAGTGGTTTCCTTTTTTGGCTTCCCTTTACACCAATCGAGTAAGAGATTCCCCGAGACAAAGAAGAAAAAAGGAAAAAATGTTTTGGTAGAATTACTTTTGGCTTCCCCTTGAAAACCCGCGAGACCCATCCACTTTTTAACATGCTTGACTTCATCCACCCCGAGTAACCCCCCCCCCCTGATGGTACAAGGTGTCTCAAAATAGCTATGCCCGTCAAAATAGGGAGTTGGACCCCAATGGTAGTGTTCCTTTGGGTTTCCCTCAAAAAGCACACAAAAACGCATGTGCGCGAACGCACGCACGCACGCGCGCGCACGCGCACACGCACACGCACACGCACACGCAAAACAAGGGTCACCGCTTTGTGGTTGATGTAAAAACGAGACCAAAAACAAACTAACCACTTTTCCTTCTTCTCGAAAAGCGCCCATCTAGAAGTTGCGCTGCTGGTTGGGTGCATTCGGGCTGCCGTAAATCTAGGGGACCAGAAAACCAGCTTCAGGAGGAGATCAATTCGCTACGTCACGCTGGGGACTTACCATGCCATTCCCAGTGGTGTGAAAAAGGCACTCACCGGATGTAGTTTGCCCCACGAGGGAAGCTCTGCAGTTAGGGTCGTTGGATATAAAATGTCTGATGTCAAGGCAAGGAATCTGAGAATGGGATTCTCCGTCCACTTCGTTGTACCTCTTTTGAGGCTTGGAACACCCAAAGCGGTGGTTTTCCTTTTCGGTTTCGCTTCACCCCCCAAAAAAAAGACGGGTACCCTGGAGAAAAAGGACAGATCCAGTTCAAAGATTTTGGGATTGCCTTCCAAGCCAACACCTCGACGAACAGAACGAGCGAACAGAACGAGCAGGTTTGAGGCCTCATGCCCCAAACTCCAAACATGAGAAAAATGCCTGGCCTCATGCCCCAAACTCCGTGCCTCTCGGACCATGGCATACATCAAATCATGTTGCAAGATCCCCAAACCTGAAGCATAGTCCTTCTCATGTTGCTCCGCTTTCAAAGGACAGGCCTCTTTTCCGAGCTAGCGAGATCGGACCCGTCAGATCCCCGCCTCGCGCTTTGCCTGCAGTGGAGCGTGGCGTGGAGCAAGTTTGAGGCAACACTAAAACTTGGCCCTCACATCAAAAAGCGGATGCTGCAAAAATGTAAGTACAATATGTTCCGAGTCTGTTCTATAATTTGGTCTATCCTCAGGTACAACGAGTTTGGGATTGGAGACCCCCAAAACGCTAACGCTGCTGTTCGTTTGTGTTCCCTTAAAACCAACCCCAAAAAGGGGGTTCCTCGAAGGAAGAGAAAACACCTATAAAAAATAACATCACTTTGGGATCCGAGACCAGCTGTTCTTTTGTTTTCCCATTCAGACCAACCACGCCCACGAAAAAGCTTGTTCCCAGCCGGCATTTTTCACCTCCCCGCCTTCTCCTTCCGCTTCTTTGAGCTGGACGCGCTTCTTGAGCTGCTTGCCGGAGCCGGGCCGCCTACATGGGCGTCGCTTTTTGAGACCAGCTACATGTTTCTTGTGGTTTCACTTTGGGAAATCAAAACCAGTTTGGGGAGTCCATGTGTTTTTCATTCCTGTCGCTCCGTGGGATCAGTGTCCCGCAAGCCAGGCACCGCGCACAGCGGCCAAAAGCAGCCTGTGGGAAACCTAAGGGGTGGAGACCAGCTCAAACACCCCAAACATCTGGCACCGTCTCATCCCAGGTCCCAGCATCATACGGGGAGTAGGTCATATCAGCTACCCCCGCAACTGCTGAAGGATCCACCGCGGGCGATGTCGGGGTCGAAGCCGCTGCTCCGCACGAAGAGATGGATCCCTCTGCGATGGCGCACATCTTTCTGAGGGTTTTTGCATTACACCCTGGGATTACACCCTTGGGAAATGACCCGGAATGATGCAAAAACAAACACGTTTTGTCCGGAAATGTGCCCAAATGGGGTCAATACCCAGTGGGTGTATTCCCAGGGTGTAATACAAAAACCAGTAGAATCTTGGGCGGATTCGCCTTCGCCCTCTTCGTCCTCCACTCTCCGTCCTTGAGGCCAAGGTCTGCCATGTGGCGCGAGCGGCACCATCATAACCCGCCAGCAACTTCTCGTACAGCCTCTCAGCCCTGATCATAAGGAGCCTCGTAGTCTTCTCGTAGTCTTCCCGTAGTGTTTCTGTAGTCTTCCCGTAGTCTTCCCGCAGCCCGTGCGCCGACTCCAGATGCGTTTTCCTGGGCCGCGAAAACGCATCTTGACCCCCGTAGTAGTCTTCCGGCAGTCTTTCGGCAGTCTTCCCGTAGTCTTCCGCAGTCTTCCCACAGCCCGAGCGCCGAGTCCAGATGCGTTTCCCCGGGCCGCGAAAACGCATTTGGACCCCCGTAGTAGTCTTCCGGCAGTCTTTCGGCAGTCTTCCCGTAGTCTTCCGCAGTCTCCCCGCAGCCCGTGCGCCGAGTCCAGATGCGGTCTCCCGACCTACAAAAATGAATCTGGACCCCGGTAGTCTTCCTGCAGTCTTCCGGCAGTCTCGTGCACCGCATCCAGATGCGTTTCCCCGGGCCGGGAAAACGTCATATGCTTGGCATATCCCCATTTATGATTCCCCGACATCCTCACCTGACCTATGCCCGCCCAGATATGTAGGACGAGCTCGTCCGTGCCGAATCCCGAAGGATCTCAAACGTCAGCACCACAGTTTGCCGTCGCCAAGAGAAAAGTTACAGGAGGAAAAAGAGAAAACCGCCATTAGTTTGACACATACCCAAGCATGTCTGTCTAGATTGTCATCTTGCGAGGCATATTCTTAGTCCACCATTCCCCAGTCCAGCCATAGGTTCTGGAGGTCCGGTTTGAGTTATGAGCCGTGTTAACCTGGTGTAAGTGGTATATAACAACCTCAGTACTCCCCCACACGTTGCCATGGAACCGAAGAAGGAGATCCCCAGAATGCCCATGTGGGTTCCATGTCCTCAAAAAAGTAAATGGTTTCGAGCCCACTAACACCTCGAAACCAAACAAGAATCAATCTAAAAACGCCGTCAGGTCATCCGTGGTGTGGGTCCCTGAACCCATCCCCCGCTCCGCCTGGGCTCGCACTGTAGCCGACACCCGCACTGGCACTTTTGGCGGGACCGCCGATGGCGGGATCGCCGCCGGAACCGCCCGCGCTAGCGGAGCTCGCGTCGGCTATCCGGGGCTCCCGGAAGGCCCAATTGCACTCCTGGCTGGAGAGGATAGCTCGTCTCTTTTGTGGGGATGCCCCTTTTTGGGGGCTGCAAAGGCAAAGGGATATGAAAAGGAAACATCGGGGGGATGAACTCCGAGCCGCAAAATAAGCCCAGGTATCCGCAACCCTACCCGAGCCTTTTCCATAGAAACCCAAAGGCGTCTACGTGAGAGACTCCAACTCTTCTAGCTGATAGGGGCGAAAAGGCGATAGTCTATGTCTGGCAATCAGGAAAAAGCACCAGGGGAAGCAAGACCGTGCTGCCGATGCGTCTGATTTTATTTGAGATGAATTCAAGGCACAAGTTCTTCGAAACACTCACGCCAAAACCTGCCATTCAAGATTCGAACGTGGGAGTGGCCCCGCAACCTTCTCAACAAGTTCAACCACCTCGAATTCACAGAACACAACAAGTCGGATTCCGGCCCATATCTAGCGAACCTTGAAATGCAAGAAACGTTCAACCAGAGACCCTGTGGGTGGACCAAATCCTGCACCAATGTGAAACCATGGGAAGCCATTGTTCGTTGGTATTCTTAGGCGGTGCAGGATTTCATCCATCCACAGTGTGGTCTAAAGTCTTTGTTTTCCATGGCCTTCCCACGAGAAAGTCCAACTTAAGTGAGAAAAGAGAAAACGAAGAGGTCTGCCAGTGCTTTGGAAGGTCGCCCTGAGGTGATGTACGCCCTGTGATGTGGAACGCCAACTCGAAAAGGAGCAAATCGCACCCTAAAGAGGTCACCTTCAGACTCTGGAAGACAATGTTTTTTTGAGCGGATGGTATGTGCGTTGTTTTTGGACCGGCCCCCGGTGCGTGTCACAAAGTAAGGATTTGGATTCCATCAAACATGGATTTCGGTTTTCCTATTGGTTTCCCTTGAAAACCCACCTGCAAAGGGCACCGAGCCTGGAAAAGAAACAGACCCTAGAAAAAGACCACCGAAACCCTTCTGACCAAACTCGCCGATCAAGAGGACGCCTATGGTCAGACTCAAATCCTACCACAATGGTCCACACACAACCATGTAAAGAAGAGGGCGGATCTCCGCCGTGGTGGCCTTCCAAGTGCCCCCGAACGTCGTCTCGTCTCGTTCGAACTCCTGCAGCGCCGGGGACCCCGGGTACCCGTCGTCGTAGACGCAGCACAGCCACTCGAAGGGCGGAGCGTCGGAGCTCTCGAGTCCTCGCGGTGCATGCGGTGAAACGACTTGCTGCGATAAGTAGGGACGAGGGAATGAACCCAGGGTTCCCTTAAAGGAAACCACCAGTTGGAGGGTTTTTGAGGGTCATTCCCTCATTCCCTGCTGAGCACCAGCAAGACAAAAGGCGGGGGGGGGGGGGGGCAGAAATGTTTAAATTGAGAGAGGGTTGGAGTGTCTTGCCAGTTGCTCAGGTCCTTTAAAGGGGCCATAGTTGTGACAACCCCGGCTAGTAGCCAATTGTCCCCTAACATCGGCGACCCAGGGATTCATGCACACACGCCACCCCAAACACAATCAAAGCCGGGGGGGGGGGGGGAATAAAATAGGCCAAAACTGGGATCGGCGTGCTGGGGTCTTTTGGGTCTGGGGCGGTACAAGATTTCATGACCCTCGCCACGGTTTTGGTTTGGGGATCCAAGAAAACAGGAAAATCTGCAGGAAGCTACAAATACACTCCATAAAACCCCCCCCCTCCCAAAAAACAAAAAACGGGAACCTCCTTTTTGGGGACCTCCTTTTTGGGTTCCATCTGCTAATTTGCAGGGTTGCTCCGCCGCCTTTTCACCAAGAAAGGGAATGACAAAGAAACAAAAAAGAAAGAGGAAGAGGAAGAGGAAGAGAAAGCCAACTCGAAGAAGAAAAAAACATACCGAGGACGGGAAGGCATGATACTCATTCCTACCTCAAGCCGATGGGTCACTCTCAAAGCCAGTGAACCCCCCAAATCGCGGGCTTGTTGTGGTTTCCCTTAAAAGCCCGGAGCTTCTTGTGGTTTCCCTTAACAGCCCGTCAACCGGGAGGGCCAAGAAAATCCTACCAGCTCCTTTGTGACCTCCGTGGGTAGCGCCTGAGCAGTCGATGTTGTTGCCCTTGCAAACCATCTGCAGGACCTCCACGTTGATCCACCTCAGCGAGCGCGAAAAAGAAAAATAATCGCCTTCGAGGGAAAGAAAGACCAACCAAATCGACGAAACCTGGCGAACCAAACCTTGGGAAAACCACCATCAAACTGAGGAAACCAAGGAAATTAAGATTCTACCCGTGTTGCTCGATATGTTTCACGCGAAAGCATGTCGCGCTCTCATGTCCCAGCTCGGAAAACCAAAGCCCGAAGGAACGTTCAGCCCCGAATCCCAAGAACCCGGGTTTTTGGGCCGCTGACAGGCTGCCATACCTCCCAAAAGAAAAGCAACAAGATTAGGTGCGGGTCTGGCAAAGACACCCAAGGAACATGGGAAGACCAATGTCCTCTTCAGAACACCTACTGTTGGGTTCCATGTCAGCCGGTGTGACGGTATCCGTTCTAGATTGGTCTGAAAAATGACCTTCTGGTTTGCAGGTCTTCGAGCTTTCCCCGCTTGTAACAAAAGGAAGCCGTTGCCATTTAAAAAGGCCAGCTCCTATTTTGGGATGGGTCATAAACACCCCACTGTCAAATGCCCCGAAAAGGTCCAAGGCCATTTGTCCCCCAGCACCACCCGTGGCTCGTTTGTTGTCGCCCCTGCAAGGGGAAAAAACAAAACAAAAAAATAAATGAATATATGTATATATATATATATGATATATTATATATACATATATATTTAATAAATAAACAAAAAGGACAGGGGCCCCGGCCAGCGCATCCGGATCACCGGCTCCTCCCGGCCGTCCACCCGGAGCTGCACTAGCTCCGGCTCCGTCTGGCACGGAGCCGTTCTTCTGATGTGTCCGTAGTGGCTGTGGCTGTGAAGGCTGCGGTGGTTTTTCCAGCGGTTTTTGTTTGTGGCACTGTTTGACTGTAGCCCTCGTTTGGTACTGATGAAGGTGATTTTGTTTCTTGTTCTTGCTGCTTTCTCCAGTGTTCAAGAGCTGCTGTTTGTCCAGTGTGGCTGTTTGTGTGTTACTTTTTTCCCAGTGTTTTGCAGATCCATGTGGCGCACCTCAAAAGAAATAGATTGGCAGTATGTTTTCCATGCAGTGCAGAGCATTTCAGTTCTCCGTGGCTTTTGTTTCTCCTGCGCCCCAGTGATCCGGGGCCCAGTCTGGGGAGTGCCTGGGGGAGTTCTTTACAAATATTCACGTTTCCAAGTTCCGGTGGCGGGGGGAAACCAAAAAAAAAAGAGAACGAATATGCTTCTCTGCTGCTTTCTTTCCCCCACCACTCCCCGAGACTGGCCCTTTCTTTTGAAACAGACCATGCACGTTCAAAGGTCCGGAAGGTCACATGAGGAAAACCGAAGTTCCGAACTAAGGCAACTACAAACACGGTTTCCCAACAACGCCGTGAAAAAGACATGGCGCGAAAAACCCCGGGGCCTCAGCTTGTGACCTTGTGATTTTATCGGTGCGGTTTCGGTCTCGGGTTTGGTTTCCAGGGGGCGGGAGCCCCCTGTCAGTCAGCTTCCCTCGTGGCTGGAGCCCGGTGATTTGGAGCTGGGGGGAGTGGTTCCCCATCCCTCAACAAGAATCAGGGAACCGGTTCGAATCCAAAGTCCAAACCACCAATCCAACTACCAAGCAGTGTTTACCTGAGTCAGAGTGGTGAAAAGAGAAATTCAGGAAAAAACCACAGGTCCTAGGTGGCCCCTTCTCCGTCTTTGGCGCCCTCGTTCTGGCTGGTTTAAAAGGGACAGAGAGAAAATGCATGGGTATGGGTCAAAAGTAAACCACCAGGGGACCGCAGATTTTCGTCCTTGGTTCCTTTTGCCAGGGTTCCAATTTGGGTACCTATTTTTGACCCACAGCCACATCATTTTCAGGGGGTGTCCACTTGCTCCAGTCTAAAGGGAAGCCAACGGAAAACCCGCGGCCCTTTGGAGCTTCAACCCGCGGCCCTCTCTGCAGCTTCCGAACCTCCCAAAAAAAAACGACGCCGGGGAGCTTCTCTAAACGGGCGCAGCGGAAAGCTGCCTGGTGGGTCAAAAAGTGAGGGAAACCCTAAAATGAAATCGCTGGCCCTGGTAAACGGAAAGCAAGTGGACTAAACCCTGCGGTCAAACTCCTGGTTTAAGTTTGACCCATAGCCACCTAGGTGTCATGTCCAAAACTTGGTGGCTGCAACGCCCTCTCTGCAAAACGTGAATATGCGTTGGTGGGCTCAATGGAAAGCCGGTGATTTCCCAAAAACTACAAACTAAAGATGAGCCCACCCCCACCCCTTTCCCCAAAAGAGCTACCCTTTGGCCCAAAGCCAAGGTGGCCTTTTGCGGATGACACCGGAAAAAGGGAAAAACTTGGGACATGACGACACGTTCTGTGAACCATGTGGTTGATTCCAACTGGCTCTCACGATTGATCTTGGCAAACAAAACCTGCTCAGAACTCCACTGTCCAAAAGGGTGAAGACCACGGAAAACAATGCTTTCACACACATCCTCCAGTTGAGTATTTCTAAAAACCCATTGGGTTGGGTTTTTACACAAACAATTGGGTTGTGGTGTTATGCAACTAAAAACAAACATGACTTCATTTTGGCAAGAGAGAAACATATGGACTCTGTGGGGCATCTCACAGATCGATTGGCACAGCCCGACGACGACTCGAAAAAATAGTTGCCGGCACCGCCCACTGCACAGTCCTCGACCTCGCCCGAAGGAATTCAGCGACGCCGGTCAAACCCTGAAAATTGTTGGAGGTGATCACTTGGCTGCGGGTCAAAAATAGGGTAACCCCAACATGGCTTGCCAGGTAAGTGGAAACATGCACTAAAACCTGCGGTGCCCTGGCGGATTAATTTTGACCCATACCCACTTTTCGCGGCGAACAGAGCGTGCATTTTTCCAGAATGGTGGTGGTTGCCTGGTGGTTTCCCTTGAAAAACCACACAAGAAATGGCGTCCCTCAAAACGGGCGGACCCCAAGCAAAATGAGAGTGAGAGGGCGCCACTCAACCACTGAACAACCAGCTGCGGGGTATGGGAAGTGAGGGGCATGGACACTTAAAGACTACTCGTTCCCAAGTGGATTGGTCGGAAAATGCCGAACCTTTTCGGTTGCCACTGAAATGGTCTGCCCAACAAGTATAAACTCGCACATTCCCACCAGTGGACTCGTGGTGTCTATTCTACAACCAACTTCTTCTAGGGAATTGGCTGTTTCGCATTCCTGGCTGCAAACAGACTGTAGTCGTCCATGGCATGGGTTGGATCCCAAAAAATCGAGCTGTACTCACCACCACTGTTTGCAGGAGAAACAAACCCCTGGCCTCTGGTAGAAAATTGGGGGCACCGCAACGCCTGCCTGAGAGGGTGCCCACGTTTCAAATCTTCGTCTTGTGCAAGGACCAAAACACGCAATGTTGCTTCACACAGATGTCAACAACCCAGCTGAAGTCTACGGAGAGGGGTTGAGCGGAGTTAGGAAACCTCACATAGACATTAAAAAAAAAAAAAAAAAAAAAAACTCGATAAATTTAGTTGTTGATTTCCAAGAGGACATGGGAAATGTTGGGTAATGAATCCCCTGCTTTTGTGGGAAGCTTAGCGAGTCTCAGTATGCCCTCCCAGTATACTATGCAGGTGCCCTCATATGGATATTAAGCGAGCAAGCCCGAGCTTGCCTTCTGGTAATTGGGGCTCCGCTGGTTTCTTTGACAACCTGTTGGTGTTTTGTGGGCAGTGTCCCAAGATTTGGGATCCGATATGAGATTGTCTCCAAGGAGGGACTCCCGGGACCCCCCCAAAAAAAAAATACAGGTGTCTTTTTGGTGTCCCTTCCAAACTAATCAAACGGATGCTCCCCCACATACAAAAGCAAGACATGTGAAACCAAAAGCTGGCAAAAATGCGTGGCCCGCGACTTTGGAGTCACCGGAGTCTTGCACAAATCGGGTTCCTTCACTTTAAACTTGAATCTGGAGGTTTGAAAAGTAGTCATTCACCAAAAGGTGAGAAGGCAGACCCCTTAGTCGAGAAGTGGGTCCGATCCTCTTTGAAACCCTGACATCCTGTGCAAGGTCCCGCTTTGTCTCTGAGGCAAGGAGGTTCCCTAGAAATCCTTTGCTCAAATAGTCTAAAGAGCATGACCCTCAACGCAAATTGGTAAAGTTCTAACGGTTGATTCCCCATTCTTTTCAACCATCGTTCTTTTCAAAAGCCGGATCCGTTTCCCTGGTTTTCCGGGGTGTTCTACAAAAAAGGATCCCTGGAAAGAATGGGAAATGCACTAGAGAAGTGGCATCCACATCACTGCCAAAATACACCACAAACTCCCGCCTCCCTCCAACCCAAAAACCCGCCAGCGAGCTTTCGCGGGTGCGAGAGAAGCTCCCAGGAGCCCGGGCATGTCCACGCGATTGCTGCAAGGACCTCCGGGCCCCCCTAATGTAAGAATCATTCTTTCAAAATCCCATTAGGTCAATTCTGAACCAGTACCAAACGGCAGATTCCTTTGGGCGTCCCTTCCAAAGACCCGCCCAAAATCCGCCAAGAGCTAGGTGGCTCCCATTTGGGGCCTGGCGTAAAGGTGGGTCGTTGGCTTGGGGCCCGGATTGGAGATCTTGAAGGGATTTCTCCTGTTTCCCTCCCAAACCACCCATCCAAACCGCCCTACTACTAAGGGTGACCAGAGAAAAAAATGAAGACTGCAAAGGCCTAAACAGTTGGAACAGGGATATGCATGACTCAAAGTCCAAACGCCATGATCATAGGAGCAAACTCCTACTCACTATTTAGCCCCATACTCAGGTGGTGCCCATTCTCATACGTGGGAGACCTAGGATTAGCCCCCTAATTACCGTGACTATGCTCAAAGAACTAGCCAAGGAAAAATCATTCTGGCTGGTTCGAGCATCCACTTGCTAAAAGTTGGCCACTTATCGCTAGCGGCCAGAAACTTACACCATGTTGCCTAAGCTCAAAAGGTTGCTTCGGTGTGATATCAGGGAACCTTCGCTTTCTGGAGAAAAATCGCAGAGAAGATTTACTAGTGGTACTGTGGATGGATGAAATCCGTTTCGCACACTTGGAAGCCATGGTTGAAACCATAAGCTTTTTCGGTATTTACATGTGAATTTATCAGATGCCAGGGTTTCTGAACGGTGGCGCCTAAGAGCATTCTGCAGTATCAGACATAAAAACAGCTTCACCTCGCAACCGCCGCTCAGCCGCTCTTCAGCGGCCTTCCGTGGGACATTCAACCAACCTCAGGCAAGTAGCTGAGTTGGTTATGTGCGTGGGGTGTCAGTCCATAGCTTATAACCACGGTGAGTAGGTTATGTGCGTGGGGTGTCAGTCCATAGCTTATAACCACGGTGAGTAGGTTATGTGCGTGGGGTGTCAGTCAATAACTTATAACCACGGTGAGTAGGGTATGTGCGTGGGGGTGTCAGTCCATAACTTATAACCACGGTGAGTAGGTTATGTGCGTGGGGGGTTTGGTTTTTAGCTTATAACCACGGTGAGTAGGTTATGTGCGTGGGGGGTTTGGTTTTTAACTTATAACCACGGTGAGTAGGTTATGTGCGTGGGGGGGTTGGTCCACTAACTTATAACCACGGTGATAGTCTACTAAGGTTGAACACCCAAGTACTGAGTAGGTGGAAGGGTCCTAGGCAGCCCAAGCGAACATGCCTTTTGACTACGACATGGGCTTGGAACAAGGGAATCCCAGACACCAATTTGCCTTTGGTCCTTGGCTTCCGGGCAAGGAAACAAGAAAGCCAAATGGCTGCGGGTCAAAAATAGGTACCCAAAATGGAACCCTGGTAAACAGATACATGGACCAAAACCTGCGGTCTTCTGGTGGCTTAATGTTCACCCATACCCAAGTGGAGTAACTGAAAGGCTGAAAAGGTCGTCTTGCAACTTGCAACCACAGAATAACATAGACTAGACGGTCTGCAAGGCTCCCATTCCGATTCGACCGGAATTGGCGAAAGTCGTGGCAATCTAGAAGGGGAACCATATCCTTGGGCTTGATCTTGACGGCTCGGAGCAACCCTCTCTGGCCAAGACAGCCCTTCGATAGGAACCCAGCCGCTCCTCTGGTTCTGCGTGATTCGCCCCTCTTGGAAATACGGGTTGTCCCCACGCAGGGTTCAAAAATCCAGGTGTCCCTTGTGCCCAAGTGCCCTAGATTCATGCCTCCTAAGACCTAAGAGCATCCACATTTTGGCGGGAGTCATCACCACTCCGTTCTCTTTTCGGGAGTTTCGTGTTGCCCTGGGGGGTGGGGGTCTAGCTCTACAAAGTGGGGCGGCTCATGGCTTTTGTCTCAAGGAGCCTGCTGAAAAAGCGAGCGGGCAGTGGAACTGGAAGCAATGGGCCAATCAAAGAGCAGCCTGGTGTTGGTCGGGGTTCTATCCAGCCACCCTCTACTCAACTTTTGGCTACGACTCAGTCTCCCTCTCCAGCCTGAGGAAAACCGCAGCGGCGGCGGGGTCTGGCGCAAGCGCTCCATGGTGTTTGGTCTCCACATGCTTGGTGTTCCCTTTGGTCTTCCCAAAAACAATCACCCTGAAAAGCACAGGGTTCCTATTGCCCACCAACCCCAAGTACCGTTGAGGCAAATCCCTTAAACGGCCCAAAAAGGGTGATGTTTCAGGAAGGTCAACCAAGACCCGCCCTGAAACCAGTTTCTGGCCCTTTGAGGTTGCCACCGGATAAAGTGAAAACCACTTCTTTGCTGTGCCATGCCAGGCTCCGACTCCTCCGGAAGAAAAAAACAAACTGAGCTAGATTGACCTACAGCTATGAAGTGCGGCATAGGAGTCTCCTTGTCTGTAAGAAAAGCCTCATGTCCAGAAAAGATTCTCCTTACAGAAAAACCTCGCGCCAGAGCGGCGCTATAGTGCATGGTGTGCAATGTTTTTGTGGCACCCAGATCTGTCGTTGTGGAAAAGTCAACTTTGGATGAATCCCACGACCCTCGTGTTGACAGGTTCTTCAACCTACAACAAGCCGTTTTCTGTTGGGGCACGAATATGGTGCAACTAAAAACTGAGAAGCGTTGACCTGTAATGACCATCTCTCCTCAAACTAGCTGGGGAAAATAGCGAATCACAAACGACGAACTAAGGAAGTGAAGGTTTCAGGGCTCTTGCAATGTTCCGCATGGATGTGTGGTGTCGTAGTTGTCACCGCTGCTTTGTCCTCATCCATTTCAAGCCAAACACAAGGCAAGCAAACAACATGTTGTGATCAGCCTGTCAAAACTCAAGCACCGTTTTTGCCTCTCCCATTCTTTGAGGCGGACCAACGCATCTCCTTCACGTCCCAACGGAATCCGCCTGTGCCTTTGAATCCCCGGGGTATGAATTTGAATTATGAAATTGGAGGCCCTTTGGTGGACATCATTTTTGCATGGGGATGTGGCCATGGGTCAAAATCCCGTACCCCCAGTGAACATCCCAATCCCCACTAAAATAGACTAAAATGGGTAGTACACCAAAATGGTACCATTGGTTTTGACCCACAGCCATGTATGTCCGCTAAAAGCCTTTGAAGACATTCCAGCCATGAAGCTTCATCTTGGTCCCATGTGGAGGCATTTGGTGCACATTCTGACCTGCTGGGTCGACTGGCTAGAAAACTCGCGCGCGACTTTTTGGGCGTGGACTTTCGAGAACCTGGCAAAGAGTTTCTTAGGTACCGAGCCTGGTTGGCAAGACGTGGCAAGACGCGGTAAGACGTGGTAACACATAATTAGAAGCGTGGTAAGGCATGGTAAGACACGGCTCTCTTCCCTTTACACTTGGCAGACCTTTGGCACGACCAAGTCACAGACTTGGTACCCCATCCTGGACTCTGCCCTCGGTCGGTCGGGGCCCTTCTGTCGCTGTCGTCCACTCCTGCGGCGTTTTTTCTGGGCTGGAAGTTCTGAGGCCCCAGGCGGGGCAGTCTCTCTGCCGCACCAGGAGCTCGAACACGAGGTTGCCTTTGCTCACCTGAAGCAACCAAAAACTCGACCTCGTTTTTTTTTGGTAGGGTTTTTTTGGGTGCTTGGACCCCGAAAATGATGGGTTGCTCCGTTTGGGGTCGTTTGTAGTCCCTTTCAAACCACTAAAAAGGGTACACTCAAAAGAAGACGACTGAGTCCTTGTGGTGGGAACTGGGGATCCTTAGCTACCATGTGATATGATGCATTTCAATCTCTATCGCCAAATGAATTCTAACTCCGGAAAACGGCTTGGATGCGCAGAATCTGTAAATCCACCTTTTAATATTCAAAAAAAACTAAAGAACTCTACTCCTCATGTGGGCGATGGTCAGGGTTCCCTGCCAACAAGACACCCTCATTGCTGCGTAGAATCCCTACGGAGCGCGCCAATTCACCCCAAGTGACGAGGCCTTTCAAGCACATGAATCTGAACTCGGTCCTTGCTGGAGCGTTTAGTGATACCAGGAACTGGACCTTGTGGTGGACATCAGAAAATACATGGTTGGATTTGTGGGAAGCGGCGACTATTTTGAAATTCATGGCCAAATGCGGCACAGCCAGCGCTGTTCGAAAGTTCGCCCTTGACTGCCTTTCTTTACGTCTGACAACTCTAAAGTGGCAAACTGAGTTTTTAATGAAGGAGGACTCCCAAAACCATGTAGAGAATCAAAAAGGTAGCCGATGTTACTTCTGGCTAGGACTTCTAATGGTCATGACCCAAACCTGGACATGGAACACAACTTGTCTTTAGTATACTCTGGGACTACACCGTAAGAGTACACCCACTGCTTACACCCACTCTTTACACGCTGGGACTGTGCCCACTCTTTAGCAACATGAGTTGTCACACACTTAACGCGTAGTCTTTGACCCGCAGAAAATGAATCGGCTTGCTGCTAAGAAGAGACAAGGATTATTGTCAAAAACTCACTTCCTGAGTGGAACTCAACTAAAACGGTCTTCCCGAAAAAACTTAAAGTCCAGGAACGCAGGGAGTGAGAAAAGTCCACTCATGTCGGCCAAATCGAAAGTCACAAAGACACTCCTTCGGACGCACGCTGACCTGGCAAAGGCTACGACAAGGGAAATATTGTGACTTACACACTCCAAGCATGGTGTCCTTCACACCAAGCTCACGACCGTGCTCCTTCCTGCATCGAAAAAAGAGGCCCTCGTGTTGGCAGTAGATTTCAAGGGACCCTCCAAAAAACAGTAAGAAAGAAACCACCCCCAACTTGCAACTGCTTTTTTGAACCATGCCCAACAAATCCCCATGCCCCGGGGCGTTTTCAACCATGCCCAACATATCCCGTGGGACCCGGGTGCTGCTTTGCACCTGAATTTCGGTCGACCAAACAACTCGAGTTCGCGCACCTCGCTGGGGGGCACCTTGTTCTCCATGTCCCGGTCCTCAGAGCGGCGTTTCTTCCCCGGAAAAGGGGGGGTTGCAGAGCGCTCGGGAGTGGTGGGTGTTTACCCTTTCTTGCTCCTCCCCCCCCAAAAAAAGAACAAGGCGAGCCCTGCAATGAGCCGATTTTTGTTTGTTGAATAAGTAGTGGACAAGGTGGGCAGCGAGCGGCCTGGGTGGTCTCTCCCCCCCCCAAAAAAAAAAAAAAAAAAAACAAGAAGAGGAAAAAGACGGCAGTTTGAAGTCCGTACCCCAAGTCGAGGGGCAGCTGAATTCTTGAAGTCCCAACCTGTTTCATTTGCCCAGACATGCTCGTTGCACAGAGAGGGCGAGTCGCCATCATCGGAGCCCTGTCAACAGGTCCAAACCTTCAGCCCGAGCGGCACTTTGCCTACCCCAAAGCAAGACATTGATCGCCATTTGGAGGTTCCAGGAGAAAATCGGCGCCAAAAAGATGAAGCATGTCTGGAGTTTTCTTTTCCCCCAAAGCTCTCGGGAAAATCGGGTGAACCCCCCTCATTTTGCGGGGAGTTGCGCCCTGTCAGCAATATGACCGTGTCCCATCTAAACATCACCCAACCAAGGAGAAAAAAAATCGAGCCAAAGTGCCCCCATACAGCGATGTTCAAATCAAGGGAAATCCTGGGAACCCTCAAATGGGATATGGCTGGCCTACATGGCTGTGGGTCAAAAAAGGGTACCCTTTTTGAACCCTGGTAAATGGAAAAATGGACCAAAAACTGCGGTCCCCTGGTGGTTTAATTTTGACCCATACCCACATGTTTTCCGTTTCCCTGTCCGTTTCAAAGCCAATTCACAGGGGCTGCTACCCCTGAGTTGTCAAAGCAATTCCAATTGGGAACACCTGTTGTGGGAGGGAGGCAAGTCCAGTTTGAACAGAGGCATGGCTTGGCGCGGAACTCACGCTTCGCGATGTCGAAAAGCTATCTGTGCATCGCCATATTCGGTGTCTAGCTGATGTTTGGGGGCGCTTGGTTGGGCTCTTAAGCTCCTTATGAGATCTTCAGGATCCCTGGCTCCTTGGATTGCTAAATGTCAATGGCGGATCACTCCACGAGTTGACCAAAGGCGGGGTTTGCAGGTTGACCTCGAGCTGTCGCTCGCCCGCATCGCAGACTATCCCGGAGCCCCTAGAACACTGGGGGCCAAAAGCTCAACCCTCTTGATTCTAGGGGGTGTTTCCAACCTTTCTTTTCAACCATCGTTCTTTTCGGAAACAGAATCCGTTCTCCCCAGGTTTCTGGAGGTGTTCTGGAAAGAAGGATCCTGGAAAGAATGGGGGAGGTACCCCAGATTGATGTTGATCTCCAGCCTTCCTTCTGGAAACTTCAAAAGTCGCTGAGGGCTTTCATGTGTGAAGAACAGCTCAAACAACAAGAACAGGCAGAGAGAGGTGCTGGGGCCCCCCACCCGAAGCTCTTCGTTGCTAAAGACGAAGACGTTCAGAAGCGTCGAGAAGAACCTTGAGAGCTGAAGACCAAACTGGGCCCAGCGAGCCAAAACCCCTGCCAGAAGTTGGCCTTGTGCCGTGGCAAGGGGCCAAAATGGCGTACAAAAAGCAGAACGGTTAGTACAAATCGTCCGGGTTTCCCTGACCTCCTCTGAAAAACCTGAATGTCCAATTTCCAACAAAGAAAGGGGATGTTTCGGATCGGATTGTCAAACTGATCCTACCACCCACCCACCCACCCACCCACCCAAAAAACAATCGAGTCGATGGCACCCCAAGCACCGAGAGGGACCCCTCCTAGGCTCCTTTTCAAGTGGGTTGGCACATGGCAACCCGAGATTTTCGGGTCACCCGTTCAACGGGAATGAAATGTGGGCTCCTTTTAAGCCAGGCGACCTTCAGGCAAAAACCAGCAACTCAAAACGGCCCTATGGCTGGAAGACGTGTCAAGCCAACGAAAAAAAGCCCAATCGACAAACCTGCCACAGAGCCACTTTTACGAAAAACCTCTCCCCCGGTCAAACAAAAAAACACGGGGATGCCCGCCAATGCCAAAGAAAGGACTTCCAGGTGAACCGATGGGCCTGCCGAGTTGGAAGGTTTCGCCGAACCACGGCTTCAAATCACCGGAGGGGTGACACGAATTCCCCGCTGCCTGGCGTCCCAAGACTGGGAGAAGGGGACGTCCAAAAAGAAGACCGAAGGACACCGACCTATTTTCCCCCAAAAAAGCAGCGGGGCTGTGGGGGAAAAAAAGGCTTCCGAGAAAAATGCACATATTTGTTCTTATTGTTTTAGTTTATTTATTTGTTTGTTTAAGTCACTTGAGACTGGCAAAGCTTGCGCTCCCTGTGGGAACCCAAGGTGTGAGCTGCGATCTCGCACATGGCTCAAGGGCAGTGCCGCTGACTCGTCCGTAATTGACAAATTGACAATGGCCGCGGGAATTGTTTACTCATGGACTCTTGTTTATGCAAATTGAGAATGGCTCCGTATCAAAGGCGCAAGTTCCAAATTCCAAACACTTGTTTAACTCATAGCTCTGCAGTACGAGGCACCCGGCTGCCATTCCATCACCCCGAGTCAGCTTCCGCTCGGCCACTCGGCCCCGGGCGGGACATTTATCGCACACAGCATCTCCGCATCTGTCATCCTTGCCACATGCGTATGTGTTCAAATAGGGGCCAAACTGGCGGCGTTCCTTTTCACTTTGAGTTTAAACCACAGCAAAATCGTGCTCTCTCGGAAAAAGGCACCCACATGGCCGTGGACAATAAGGCAATTTTCTAGGGGGATGCACTGTTCACGGCATGGCCACGATTGCAAAGGGAAAACCAAGAAGGTGCAACTGAACAACGGAGAGTCCCATTCAATGCAAAAGCCACCTCCTTTGGGCAAAACCTGGCCGGATCTCGCCATTGAAATAGGAAATGGGTGAACCCACATCAACCATTCCCCCCCCCAGGCTCATTCCGTCGCGCCTTCCCCAAGTTCAACGCCTCAAGTTCCCTCTCGACCAAAAAAACATCTCTGAACTCAGAGCCAGGGGAAGCCACCTTGCCCCATCCAGGTCTCTGGAAAGTCCCAAAAACGGGGGGCCATGGTTGAGAAATGGCTTCCAACCTTACAACTCCAAACTGGATGCCCCTCCCTTGCGGCAACTTCTTGCGTGTCCTTTCAAAAAGAAGAAACGGGCCCCCAGGTCTGGTGCAACAGCCTTTCTGTTGCGTCAAATGTGCCTGGTTCCTTGTTAAAAGTCTCAACTTGAGTCACCATCAAAACCCACCAAAGGAATCCCTCCCACCGACGAATATGGGCATGCGTGTATATATATATATATATATTATTCTTTTTAGGGACCCTTTGGTGGACATCATGAATTGGTGGGGACCTCAAAAGTGGTTGGTGGGCATGAATGCTGTCCACCAAAGGGTCGCTGATTGACACGCATGGCCATGCAAAGAATCCAACAAGCAAGTATTCACCTTCCAACCATGAAAGTGGACAGGACTGCAATCAGTCTTCCAAAACTCCCCTGTCGGCTTCCATGATTGTGGGAAAGCGGGCAAACAAACTCCTTTAGGTTTGATGTCCACCTTGAAAACGTCATCCCACCCTCTATGGTGGTTAAAAGGGAACCGCACCCAAAAGTAATTTTGAGCATACCTGAAAAATGCAACCACTTTAAAATTGTAATAAGGGCCCAGTCAAAAGGGCGGATATCCACACCTCCCTCAACTCTCCCGCCTCTTCACCGCATCGTGCCGCGGGAACGCTAGGACCTGAATCTTTGAACGTGCTCGGGAAACCAATGGGAACCAAACAGCACACTCCCACCAACACGAGTATAGGCCAACTCCACGGGCACTCAAGCCCGCAAGGCTCTTTCTGGAGGCTAAGAGGCCCCCTGCGCCAAAGCGAGGAAGATGGGGTTTTGGACCAACCGCCATGGACTTCCAAACGGGGTGATTGCTATGGATTTGCTGGGCGCAAACGGGATCTGTTCTCCAGGACCCGTTTGCTGTTGGGATACCAGGGCCCATTGAGCATGTCTTCCCAACCCTTTCTTATGAGGTCCCGCCCAAGGCAATCACAAGTGCTCCGTACTCCGTGGTCAAAATTGTGCGGTTGCTCTGCTGGGCATGGGAAAATGAGTCGGTCCCCGGCTTCGGCGAAACAGGATAGTTTGACCGAACCGAACGTGCTTGCCAGGCCAGCCGAGCAACCAAAACCCTGATTGCGGGGGATGCAAAGCCTCAACGGTTGGGGCAAGGGTTCTTTGGGGGGCTGCGATTGAATGCTGCAAGGGAAACCCCCGCAAACCGATGGGGCGTTGCTTGTCTGATCCCTTTGGCTGACCTCCCAACGAAAACATACCAAAACTGAAGCTGTGATTTGTTGGGGGTATGTTTGGAGGGATAGCTTTATGAATCAAACCAAAATCGTCCCCCAAAACTGGACCGACTCCTCTTCCCTTGGCACCGTTGTCGTCTAGGTCCTCCAGTAGAGAGGTTCGAAAAAGGCTACGGCTACCCTTGCTTTTTCTTTTTGGTGGAAATTTTAGTAGGGGAACCGAATCTCCCAACAAAAAAAATGGTAGAAGGGCACTACTGGGAGACCCTGCTACCCTCTGTTTGGATTTGTGGTTGACAGGTGGTTTCCCATTTACCCCCAATAACAACCCACCAATTCAAGGGCACTACTGAAGGACCCTCCCGTCGTTTTGTCGAGCGGCGCAGCTGGCCGGAGTCGACACAAGCCGCGTGCCCTCCGGGCGCAGCATCAGCCGCAGGTAGCGGTTCCCCTGCGCGCGCTGCGCGGGAGCCGAACGGGAGACCTGGAGATGCCTGTGGTTCAAAACCGTTTTGGGATCCCATTTTGGGGTTTGCGGTGAATTCACCACCCATTTTAGAACCTATTTTAGTGGTTGGATTGGGATGTTCACTGGGGGTCGGGGCTTTTGACCCATGGCCAGCTGGCTGGGGTGGCCCTTTTTGTCGCACTGGAAGACTTGGAAATGGAGGTTCCTCCTTTTTCTGTCCCTTTCAATTCACCCCAAAAGGTACCCTCCCAAGAAACACACACACACACATACACACACACACACGCGCAACCAAGGTACTCTTTTTGGTTGGCTTCAAAGGGACATTCTAAAGGACACCCCAAAATTCAATTCCTATTGCGAGACGAAGCCAAATGGCAAATCAGCCCGAAAGAAGGGAACCCCGGCACGGGACCGTCATGGGTGAACTCGTTTTACTGGTCCCAAGTGCGCGATTTGCCGGGAAAACATCTGCTACGCGGGAAAAGTCAACTTCGGAGGCATCGAAAGGAACATCCGAACTAGAGGAGACTACTTGCTGGGGTATGAGTTCATTTTAGGGGAATTCCTTGGATCAATATGGTCCCCCAGAGCATCCGATGAAAATCCCAACTCTGGTCAGGTGTACGTAGCTTGGGTTGACTGAACTAACCCTTTCGCTCTTCGCTTTTTGGTTGAAGACTGCTTGCAGTGTGTCTGCGTTTTGCCGGCAGGACAATCTGTTCGATGTAAATGATGTCTACCAAGGGGTTTGCAATTCAAATTATAATGTCATTTGGAACCTGTCCAAAAAAGCCTTCTCAAGTGGAATGGGTGTCGTCCAACACCCCCTGCTGACTTCTATGATTGTACGAAGAGGGTAGTAAAGGTTTCGGTCCAACCAACACATCAGACGTGTGACTCATCCCTTTGGTTTTAGGTTTGTAGAGCACAGCCAACCTGAAGTCTGGATGCTCGTGAGTGGCCGGCCATGACCATGAATCACAAGCCTACTGCTGAATTGCTCTCATTCTACCCAATCGGCATGTTTGGGATTGGGTGTAGGAAAACCAAAGTAACTAGTTGAATACTCTACCAAAGCGGTCGTTGTTTGTTCATCTGGCACCTGAAGAAATGAAACCAAGCCAACCCAGCCCATGCTTTACCAAAAAAAGGTGTTGACCAGCTACCCAAACCAGGTTGTGATCATCACACTAATCATCTCTTCGGCAAGGACTTGGATCTCCCCCGCCCAAACAGCCAGGGGGGTTCATCGAAAGGAGCCATCCCGGCGAAAGCCTCGATGACCGAGCCAAGCTGGCACCTCAAGCCCCAAGATCCTAAACCCCGGGCGCTCAAAACTCATAGCGGACTGTCCATGGTCCCGACTTCAAGGGGCGATCGGGTACTTAAGGGGAAGAACCATGGCCAGAACCCAAGTCCCTTGGTTGCAAGTCTAAGTGGGTTATAATCAGGCGCAATTGAGTCTTGGAAAACTGATCCCTGCCAACTGGTGCAGGATTCGTTCATCTACTGTGCACACAAGCGCATCCGCAGGTGCAACGAAGCCCAAGGACAGAACGCTTCACCATAAGGTTGGGTTTCTGCCCATCCTGGAGATTGATTTCCCCTGAAGGGGGTCTCAAAACCACGGAGTAGGTGGCGCAAACAGGAAGCGAAGAAAAGCGACCAAGAATAGCTGGGTTGCCCCCCTCTTATCTCTAGCCAGTGGATGTCAAAGGCAAGCAGAGGTGATTGTCTGCGAAACGGATGTGCCGGGTGGATGGTTGACCTTTGAACCCATCTCTGGTTCGGAATAACATCCCAGAGGGTCCCTTGGTACCTAAGGATAAACTGAACGACCCCTTCTCAAAAGCCATCAGCACCCTCTGACCCGGGATAAACTGAACGACCCCTTCCCAAAAGCCCTCAGAGGGTGCTCAGGTAAGAATCAGGCCAGAACATGGTTTGGCCTCACCAGTCGACAAAAGCCCCACCAAAAGAAATAGCACCCCCAAACTTTAGGCTCTAACAACAACAGATGATAACTGGATGCTAAACGAAACGTCTGGGTGAGAAAATGCCCATACCGTTGGTGTCTTTTTAGAGCTGCTAAAAGAAAAGTTTGGGGTATTCAGCACAGAGTGGGAGCCTTTTGGTTACGGCTTACCCAAACTGGATCGTGAATTCGTTGGGGTACGTACCCTGTATGTAAAGCAAACACCAAGCCCTGGACAGCTGAACCATTAAAATCATCCCGGAGCCGCGGCTTCTGGCGGCAACTCATCCATCCCATGCGGCTTGTGGCTAGAAAGCAAAATCGACCCTAAACCTCTGAGCGATCCAAAAGCTTGATGTGGCTATGCAGTTGTTCATGGGTCCCGTGCGCTTTGGTGGACATCGTGTAGGGGTCCCGATTCGTGCCCAACCACTTTTCGAGGTGCAGCCATGCGGAAGGCTGTCAAACAATTAGGAGCACGAGGAGGGTCTAAAATCGGGCCATCAGTGGCGTGACTTAAAGTGGCCCACTCTAAAAGCGGGCTCCTCGAAAAAGAAAAACAAAAAATAAGCTCAGGCGATATCCCCAACACCACACACACACACACGCCAGGGGCTTCCAAAAAAAACGCCTCGACGTTGTGGCTGGGCTTCCCGACTGCCCCAGCTCCCGCCAGCACCGCAGGTGCGCCGCCACGTCCGCGGACTGGGGTGCATTCAGAGCTGGGGTGTAGATCCGGACTAGTTCTTTCCAGTTGGCTCATATCCTAAGTTGAGGCTGGAGAATCCAGTTGGCTGCGGGGTATCCGGACTGGTTTTCCTTCAGGCGGGTGGAGAATCTCGTCTGACAGGGAAACCAAAAGCCAAATCCAGGCTTCTCCATGTGAGCTGGAAAAATAAACCCGTGCTAAAACTCTTATCCCAAGTTGTTTAAGCGACGGTCTTCATAGTCTTTTTGAGACAACCAGCCCCGGACATCCCGCCGCAGCTGCTCCTGCTTGCCGCCACTGCTCCAGCTGTCGTTCATGGGTTTCCTGCATCTTCTGAAACTGCTCCAGCAAGCGCAGGATGTCTCGAAGCTCCTGGCCGCGCATCGTCTCCTTGCGGGCGCTCCTCGTCGCACCACGTGCGCCCTGCACGTGGCCGGGGCAGGCTGTGCCCAGCTGCCCGGGCTCCTTTCGTCTTAACCATCACGACCAAAACCCAAATCCAACAAACAACATATCTGTTTCAGACTTTGACAAGTCAATCCGATCCCTTCTGGCAAGAACACAGATCGAAAATGAATGTCCCAAAGGATTTAATCGCGGGGTGAAACTCAAAAAACTCTTACGCAAAACCAAGGGCGCTTCTCTGGTATCCTTCTAGTGCCCCCTCATAGCAACCTCTTTGCCATTTTCGGGAAAACTGATTCAATGCCCTTCTCCTTCCTAGTGTTTCCCTTTTCGACAGGGGAAACCACAGTGCCGGCTTGGGCGGGATGCATTTCTTCGCGCTGATTTCCAAACAAACGATCGCTAAGCAGTCAATATGCAGGAACACACATTTTACAACCTTATTCGAACTACATTTGCTGGTGCTCAGTAGGGGATGAGGCAATGACCCTATAAACCATCCCCGATTTGGCTTCCTTTTAAGGGAATCCCAAAACAGTTCATTCCCTCATTCCCTGCCTATCGCAGCAAGCAAAGGACTGAGGGACAGCCGCAAGTCCTTGATTTCAATTGCCCCTTTTTGGGTCACGGAGACCAGGATGGACAACATCCTGCACCACTTTGAAACCATGGGAAATTATTGTTTGTGGGTATTTGCAAGGCAATCATTCCCGGGTTTCTTAGGTGGTGCGAAGTGGATTTCGCAACCACAGTATCAGTGGACAAATCGGCCGGCGCTGGTTGAGACCGGTGACCCAAGAACAGGAATTCACGGGGCGCCGAGGACCGTCGTTCAGTTTGCCCTCTAATTGACGGTTTGGTTAAGAACGGTCTCCCAGTTACCCTCTACAAGAAACAGTTCAAATCCCCAAGCCACCAATCCAAACCACCAACTAATACCCTAAAAATCGTCAAGAACCAGAATCCCCAAACCACCGATCCAAACCACCAAGTTGGGGATACTACAAGAGCCAGTCCAAATCCCCAAACATCCCAAACCGCCAATCCAAACCACCAACTAATGCCTGAAAAGATCGTCAGGAACCCACCAAACAGTAGGGCATTCGCTTGGCTCATCCACGCGCGAGGTCTCGAAGCGCCGATTCGACGGGCCCGGTTCCGGTCCCGAAGAGGAGACCAAGGCGGGCTCGGTGACCAGCTGCAAAAAGGGCTTCCCTTCAAACCTTTAAGGGAATTGAGGCAGCCCTATATGGCCATGCATAACCTGCGATCCCATTTTGGGCTGGATGAACATCCATTTGCCATCAATGTTGATGTTCACCAAGGGAAACTTCTGGGTTTTGACACCCACAGCTATCTATTCGGGCATTGGATGGCTCGATGGCTCGGCGTGGGCTGGCCAGAAGGCCAAAAACATCCGGCTCCGCGGGTCAAAGAACCTGAAATGCAAAGAAGAAACAGGTACCCTCCCTCCAACAATCATGGAAGCTGACAGGAGGGTTTTGGAAGACGATTTTCCTTTTGGGCAACCCCTTTGTCCACTTCCATGATTGTTGGACAAAGGGTAAATGTATCCAGGTCAAAGTACCAACCGTATTTAAGGCAAGCCTCGAGAAAAACCACCAAAATAAGCTCAGGTGATCTCCCAACAGCATGCGGTGCTCTCTCTTTTTTGTGCTCGAACCACCACCTTTCAGCCCTCGCAGAACCTCGAGCCCTCGTGGAACCCTGGTGGAACCCTCGTGGAACCTTAAATCAGGGCCGCCCCTGACCACCCCGGAGCCTATCTGGGCTGAGACTCCAAAGCTTTCAGCTGTTGGGGGAAAAAAAACGCCAAGAAAAAGACATAGACGTGGCTACATTTAAACAACCTGAACATGCACCCAGCGGTTTGACCGATCCGCTTCCTCTCGCCTCCATCCAGCCCAGTGGCAGCTGCCACCGGGTGCCCTGAAGCCGCGAAAGGTGCAAATGGATCAAATTGAAATTGACTGTGGAGCATAGGAGAAGAAGAAAACAAAACGAAGAAACAAAAACCGACTTGCTGTTTCTTGTCCTTCTCTTGTTCTTTTTTTGTTGTTTTCCTTTTTCTTGTCTTTCTCTTTGTTTTGTTATTTTCCTCTTTCTTCTTTTCTTTCTTCTTCTCCTTTTTGTTCATCTTCTTCAAAGAGTGCATGGACGAACAAGACTTGAAAATGGACGAATAGATGTGCAGTCATGAACACGTGTCATGTACGCGCATTCAGAATGCAAGCACATGGATCCAGTTGCGGGGGTTGTGGAGCCATGTGTTCACTCCTTTGTCACTTTCAAGGAAACTCCCTTGGTATCACAGAAAGTGGCCCAGAACCCAATTGTCCACAGCACCCTTCATGCTGAGTTTGCGGATTTGAGGCTGACTTCCACGTGCTGCAGAATCCCTTTCTGCATTCAGTGCTTGGTCGGGTGGTCAGGAAACCAGAAACCGAAGGGCCGAGTTGACTGGAAAAGTGTGGATCGCGAAATGAAATCAGCTGTTCCAAATCAGCTGACACCGTGTCGTGAAGTAAACTTGAGCTCGCAAACACGAGGTTGACCCGCCATGGTTGTGGACATATTCCTTTCTGCGATTGTCAAAATGCGGGGACAAAAAATGGCGGCTTGAAAGGGTGCCCTCAAAAATCGATGTTTCCAAGCACAGCCACCAGGCCACCTTTGCAGCGGGTCATTTCGACAGGCGGCTGACGCGTTTTTTTCTCGCAGCAGTCTGTGACTGGTCGTTTTGACACAAGTGGGACTTTCCTGACGAAAGGGGTCCCTCCTTCCCAGGTTGCCATGGCACAAAGGGCCCCTGCAGGAGAAATTGATTTTCAAGATACCCTCCCACAGGTGCTACGTTCGTGGGAGCAGGGTGGATGTCATTTCTGTGCTAGGCTACGACTATGTTCCGGTAGAAGGATTCATCCAAAACCACCCTTGCAAATCGCCGAAGGGGACTTTTGCCACTGGTCCAGATGGGCCTATCATTTTGTTGAGGGGTCTTTTTTGGAACGACGGGAACCAAAAGGAAACCAATAATTGTGGGCCCCGATCTTTTAAGACACAAACGGGTGTCTCTCTGTTTTAAAGGGTACCCCTGCTTTGATGGTTTCAAAGGGACACCAAAAGAACAAACACGTTCCTTGTGTTGAGACGAGCCACCCATACGTATCCCTTCAGGGACTGACCCTTCCCACCCCCTCCCACTTTCAAGCGTGGCCTCCGGGAAGACCGGCCGCTCGCCTTTCGAATCCCGCTCTTCCTGGCGGATTTTCCGGTGGATTCCGCCAGGCGAATGGGATTGTCTCAAAGGGGCTTCCGCCCCCAAACCACCAACCCCAGTCGCTCAGTCGTTCGGATGGGATTTGCAACCTCATGCATCAGGTACTTACCATGGTTTTTTTCTCCAAGAAACCGTCTCCAACAGAGGCCCACTTGAGGAAATTGGTCCAAAAACAGGACCAAACCTGGGGGACCATGTTCCATCCAGCACTGGTCCATTCGTCCCTTGGCCTATCCGGAGATTGGTCTGGTTCCATGTTGGGAGGTTGCCTGAGATATTGAGCCCTCATATACCGGAACCCCCAAAACATCGAGGCCTTTCTTTTTTTCAGAAACAAGGGAAGGCAAAAAAAAAAAACGGAACCCAGGAATAGTCGACCCAGGGGATTCACCCCAAGACTTTCCACCCAAATTGGCCAGGCTTGTTTGGATTGGCGCACATTCCGCGCGGAATTTGGTTTTGAGTTTTGGCCTGGTGAATGTCGACCTCAAACAACTAACCAGCTGTTTATCCGTCAGAGTGGTCTTTTGGCAGCTTCCGCAGAATCGCCGGAGGTAAGGTCTTTTGACCAGAACATCACGCCACCCAGAGGACTTCTCCGAAAATAAAGCGACCCCTGTGGGCAACCCGATTCATGTTCAGAGATTCGGATCCAACAATGGCCTGTCCACCAGGCACACTCGAGTGTGCTTCTTGTTGAGTTGCACGACACACACACACACACACACACACACACACACACACACACACACACACACGCGCGCGCGCAGAGACGCACACCCATTTCTGAATCCAACGCATTCCGGCCAGCCTCGTCCTTCTTCTTCTTCTTGGCCTGCCAAGGGGCCTTTCTGGGCCGATCGAGCCCAAAACCAAGCAACCAAGGTATGGTACTCTGCAGATTAATATGGTGCTCAACCACAACCCACCACTTTGAGGGTCGGAATCTCCTTTTGAGAAATGGAGGCCCATGTTCATAGGGGGAGCAAAATGGTCTATCCCAAATCAATGGCAACCAACTAAAAGGGCGGAAGCCCTCACAACCATTGGGACTATCCATCCTCCTACCCGAATCGGTTTTGATGCCTCAACTCTTTGCATGGGAGTGTCGCTTTCTCGATGACATCGCTTAGCTGGTGTAAAGAGAAGCCAAAGCGAAACCAGAGGGAAACCAAGGGGAAACAGTCCCCAAAAACAAGTAAGTGCCGAGATGCTCTACCAAGGATACGTTAGGGCCACATTTGGTCATGATTATAGGGATAAACTCAGTGCAATTATGTAGCCCCTCACACCTGGAAAAACGGGAGGATTTCTGCAAAAGACAGACAGACCCGCATGTTGGGACCCAGATTCTCCATTGACCAAAGATTTACCGGAAGTTTCGCTGAGCTGAAGCTGTAGAAACTCCTGAGCTTTCTATTTGTCCACCCCCAAACTCCCTAAAGGTCGCGCACTCAATGCTCAGAGACCCGGAGTCGTTCGTTCGTTGGTTCTTCAAAAAAAAAACTAACGCCATGCAACCCCTTTGGGGGGCCACCGGACGCGTCCGCGGACAGCGAACCACCCACAAAGACGCCTTGGGCTTCTTGCCATCGATGAAGCGCGTGAGCTCGTCGATGCTCTTGTCCTGCAGGTGTGCCTCGGCACGAGGAGTCCTCTTGGAAGAGAACCCCCCATGCATTTCGGCTTCCCTGGAAAAAAACCAGCCCGGAACAGGTGCCGAGCAAAAAAGAGACCCTCTTTTTGTGGGACGGTGGCGTTTTGAGGCGAAGAATACCGCTTTTCAGGTTCATTTCTCCGCTTTTAAGGTTCATTTCTTTTCCCGAATCTTGCTGGTCGGTCGGGGATTTCAAACCCCGAACTGTAACTCGCCTAAACGAATCTGCAAGAAAAAGGAAATAGCCCCAGAATGGGATCGGGGGTCCCCCAATTCAATTCTTCTAGTCTTTGGATGGGGAAAATTGAACCATGCCATGGAATTCCAGGGGTTACTTCACGCCCGCACCCCCTCAACTCCATTTTTACGGGGACAGAATGGGTTCCCATTCCGGTTTCTGAATTACACCCTGAGACGGCACTCACATTGTCTGTGTTCCGATGCAGAAGCTCAGACCCGGAACGGTTCCGGGGACAGAAGTCGATCTGGTTTCCTCGTCCCATTGGATCAGGGAACCCCCAGTTGGTTTGGCTTGCTCGGAGTTGAACCCCCAAACCACCAAGGGCTTCTTTGGATTGGTTTGGGGAGTTACCAGCGTGCGACTAAAAGAGCCCTCGAATCCAACATAAGCCGCGAAGGTTCCCAAGATCAGGCCAAGGGCAACAAACGTTGACCGGCCTAAAGCGGGCGGCGCCAGAAACACATCTTGTCCGTCGTTTGCAGGTTTCGAGGGTTTCAGCTAGATAAGCCGACCCAAGACGTCAGCAACCGCCACTCAACTGCCGTGGCTTTGCCCAAAGATGTCTGAAAGGTTCCATGCCAAAATGGTCTTCCATCCCAAACGTATAAAGTGCACCTGGTCGAAAGGCGCCAAAGGGAAGCCAAAATAAGTCTGCTTGTCTTCCAACTTGCCGGCATGTTGAGCAAAAACCTGGGCCTTTCCAGTTGTGCACCAAAAATGAAGCGCACGAGGCAAAGCCCAAAAGCAGAGGAAGAGAAAAATACCAAGAACCGTGAAGCAAACCGGGGTGAACATGACGGAGGCAAGAGATAGGAGAGTGACCAAAGGGATAAGACACGCCAGTAGAAGATAAGTGAGGGCGAGTCATCTCTTTCTTTCGGTAACTTCTAGAGTGAGAGGAATGGCGTGAGCAAAAAGTGAACAGAGATCCAGAAAGACGAAAGAAAGGTGGTTAGGTGAGGATGTGGAATTCCCCTTCCATCACTTTCTATAAGAACCACAGTGTTTGAGCTCCCAACAAAATCGCAAACCAAAAAAAGACCCTTGAAGCCCCAGATCAATGCTGAGCCAACAAATGGCCAAGAAAGACATCCAGTTGGTGATGCTTCAACAACGATTCACGTCTTTGTACACCAAATCGCACCATTGCGCTGATTTGGGCAACTTGGGGGGGCCATGGGGCCATCTAATGTCACCCAACAACTCAGATCGCTTCAAGAATCTCGGAGCACCTATCTCAAGGTTGCTGCCTCCAGTTTTCTTTTCTGCCATCTTTTGAGAACCCCCCCCCAAAAAAAACAAAAAAAAACAGGGCTTCAGCAAATTCTCGAAAAGCAAATGGAAACAAAGGGAGACCCCCGAGGAAGAAAAAAAACGGGACTTCTGCAAATTCTCCAGAAAACCAGTGGAAAGAATGGGAGAACAACCACTTCTCCATGAAAGCCAGAAAGAACGGTTCTCAGCATTTGCCCGGGTTTCTTGGAACCCCTGAAAGCAGGTTTGTTTAAAGGGAAGCCGTAAGGAAATACCCACGTTGTGTACCCGGGGGTCCCCGCGTTGTCGGGACCGGAGGCTGCTCGCTCGTCCGCCAGGCACAGCACCCACTCCTTGCGCAGCAAGGAGACGGATCGAGGATCGACGGCGACACCATATGGTTTGCGCTTTGTTGAACAGAAACTAAGGCACCACCTGGAAGACATTGATTTGTCTGAAGCTTCCCTCATTTTTATATTCTCAGATTTGTTGCAAAAAAAAGCTGTTAACTTTTAGTGTGTTAGATGGACACCACCAAACCACGGGGGAAGAAAAAAAAGAGAAAAAAACTGCAAGCCTAAGGAACCGGATGCTTGGTACCTCTACTCGACGGCAGAAAAGAGTTCAGGGGATCAGCTGAACCACGAGGGATACTGCTTTGGCCGGCCGATCCTCGGTTTTTTTGGGGATTCACTCAACGTCGTGACACAGTGTGTTCCGGCCAAAAGCGTACACGCAGCATAGGTTCGTGAGAACTTGAACGTAACCACGGAATGGGCAAATGGGTTTGTCTCAAAATACGGGAACCCCCAAAATGATGGGTTTCCTTTTGGTGTCCCTTTTGTCACCAAGCCCAGCAAAAGTAGCCTTCGCCTCCAAAACAAACGAGAAACCCAAATGTATTCCCCATGAGCACCAGGGAAGGGTTAACTCTCACAGATTTGCACGGTGGTTCCTTTCAGCATGGTTGCAAAATCTGTGGAAAACCACTTCTTCAGTTGTAGGGGAACATGGCTGTGGGAAGCAACCCTTTCTGTGGCATCGAGGTGGACCATCCGTATGACCATGCCACATTGCCTTTGACCGCGCACTGAAAGTAAGCTAGAACCCCCAGTTCTGGCATCCATGAACACGAAACCCGCCCAGAGGCTCATCCTCCAGTTTCATGGAAGTGGGTATGAGCATATCGCTAGGAATGGAGGATATGGAGGTATGGAGGATAAAAGAAAAGTCGAAGCCCTTCAAACACAAGCTCGCTATGTAGCCACGATAAAGAGTACACAACCAATCCTGAACCCACCCTTGACCAACCCACTGACCGTGTGAGGGGGCGGCTTACCTCAAAATTCGGCACCCATGTTATGGCTTGTTTCCTTGCGGCTTCCTTTTAGAACCCTCCACAAAGGGGTCCCCCATGTTGAGAAAACCCCCCCCATATATATCCACTGAGCTGGGGGGAAGTGGAGCCTCGGAAGGCGCCGAGGCGCTAGAGGCGTGGCGTCTGCTTGGTCCAGGGCCGCGCAGTCCAGGCCGTTGGCGCCTCTCCCCACATGGCTCCTCTCCCCACATGGCTGGGGGTCAAAACCCGAAATGAGTCTTAGGCCTCTACCGGGGTGGGTCAAAAAATGGGTGCCGAAAGTGAAATCGCTTGCCCTGGTGCTTGGAACCAAGGACTAAAACCTGCGGTGCCCTGGTTTAATTTAGGGAGCGGAGTTTTGGGATTCTATTTATATATTTTTTCCGATTCTTTGGGATTGTTTTTTGATTTTTTGTTTTTCGTCCGGGCCAGGAAAATGCCGTATTTTACAGCATTTTCTCGCGAAATTGACGCATTTTACATTAGCCCGTCAACATCCCCAGCATCGTTTTCAAACATCGTAGCTGGCGGGTCCACGCGGGTCAAACAAAATGATGATTCAAATAGGAGGGCATGTTCCCTTCCTCCCACCATGGCGCCTGAGGAAAAAACCCTTGGACGACCATTTTCGGAACTCTGAAAGGGACCTTCTGTCAGGTCCCATGTTAGTAGAGGGGTGTATGCGGCGAAAGAAATTCGGGCGAAAATCGGAGGTTCCGGCAGGTAACCCTACGGACCGCACCTATCGAAGACTTGGTATGTTCGCAAAACCAAAAAACATGTCAAGAACGGTTTTGGGGTCCCCTATTTTGAGACACACCCATTTGATGAAGGGGAGGGTAGGCCCCAGGCCAGTTGCTCTCTCTTACTTGGCGGCTTAGGGAGTCCCCTCCTGTTAAAACCAAACGAGCACCCCAAAACCCATTGACCATTGGTCCTACGATGATGGTTGTAAAGATTTAGGCCTTGCTATAAAAGCAATACCAGGTATTGGTACCACCTAGTAAAATCGCCAACCCGCTCCAAACACCAATTCGTGAGGGGACAAAAGGATTCGGGCCAAACAACAAAGGAAGGCCCCACAAATGAAAACGGATGGATCTCAACACCACGTTGCAAAAAGACGTAGCCATTGCAGTCCAACCAAGTCTGTCGAATGGCGAGATGTTCCCCACTGATAACACGAGTTGCACTTTGCCTGGACTATATACTCTCTCTTTTTTTAGAAGGGTCCTCTGCCTCTTAGTGAAGAACCAATGTCAAGAAGCTTGGACTTGCTGGGGCCAATGTGCAAACGTCTGGGCTTCATCCGTCAGATTCCTCAACTCCGTCAAATGACACGGACCTTCTCAAGGAAAAGCTCAGCCCGCGCCGCTCGAAGCTCCAGCCCCTATGGACTAATAAGCAACAGACCAACTCCTTCTGACCTGACCTGACAACCGTGCCATGCGCTTGTCACTGCCATGTCTCTCGACCCAAAGAAATGCTGTTCAACCCCCGACCATCGCCATTTGTTGTGTGCCCAGGAATAATCAGTCTGGCAAATGAATGAAGCCATTTGCAGCCAAACTAGCCTAAAAGGGACACCTATGAATGGAGCGTTTGCCCATCGAAGGATTCCAGAACGCAAATGGGACACCCCAACCAAAATCAACCAGAGGTTCAAAAATCTCCGGCCACGAACCTGGGACCCAAACCTGAAAGCCTCGTTCTAGCGCGTCAACGTATGACTACTGTGTCGTCACTTTAAAAGGTCCCTTTGGTATTCACCAAAAGTGGCATAAACAAAAACAAAAACGATGTCCACGACCACATGGCCGTGTCTTTGTTGACGTCAATCTTTTTGGGGTGGTTTTAAAGGAAAACCAAGGGAAACCACACGATTCTTTGCGGTATCCTAAGACACAGCCATATGACCACACCGGGATGGGCCCCTGCAAGGCCCGGGCCGCAAATCAGGCGCATCACCTCCACGCAAATGTACCTCGAGATGTTTTGCGGCGCCTTGGGGGGACGTGGGCGTTGTCAAAATTGGGGCATGGCATGGACCCCCACAAATGGCTTCGGCCATCCTTTCGCTTTCCATGAACAAAAAATACACCAAGAGGAAACGGAGCCCACATGGTGGTGGGAGTGCACGATGCTCCAGCAATCTCTGTCATCATAGGAGATAAAGATAGCAAATGTGCTGTTGGGAGTCACAATTATTCACACAGATAGCTGGTTTCCTGCTCAACCTACCCTCAAACACGGGCAGAGGCATAGCCTCAACCGTTTAAGTGGCAGTGCGACCTGTGCCGTGGGTTTGGTGACATTCTTTTGGATTGTGCATGCATGTTCTTTAGAATTGGGAGGAAAGCCAAAAGGAAGCCCCACATTTTCTTGCTCGTACTGTGCGACTTGCTTGAAAAGCAACTTCAAAATGCAAAATGCTAGAGCTCATCGAGGCAAAAGATAACAAACTGAAAAGCACCACTTGAAAAAGGAACCTTGAGCTCGGCCAGATTTATGGATACCTTGCGGCTAGTCGGAACATGAAGGAAACCCGAAAAAGGGCCAGAGGTTCAGATAAGCCTTTCTGGCAATGCGCCTCAGGTGCTCTGTGCCCTAAGTTGTTTGTTTGTTCAGTTCCGAAGGCCAGACCGCACCACGAAATGGAACCATGGTTGAAACCATGGGTTGTTGGTATTTACAAGGGAGTCATCATTCCTGGGTTTCTTAGGTGGTGCAGGATTTCGCCCATCCACAGTATCATAGACATGCTGGGGCCCTCCACTGATTGAATGCCAGGACCAATCAAATTGCATGTTAGGGGCTTGACAAGTTGCTCCCAGAATATGATTCAATGTAATTGCAAACCACCCCTCACTACCCCAATCAACATTTAGGCGCTTAGCAATGAAAGCACTGGCGACAACAGTTGCTTCACTCATCTGTTCTCTAATCTTTGCGAAACGAATCGCGGGGATGTGGCGATAGACCTTGGAAACGCTGGTTAAATAACAAGCAAAAGAAACGCTTCAGCATCCGTTCCACTAACTTGTGTTTTGATCGAACCAAAAGGAAGCCAGCCACCCAAAGAGCTCTTGAAATTTAAGAAACCCCCCAAAAAACTCCACGTCAGCCGCGAATGACAAGTAGGAGCCCCTCAAAATCTAAGCGACAAAGACTCAGCTTCAAGGGCGCCGGGACCGAAAATGACCTCCTTTAATTTGCCACTGACTCAGACCTCCAAAAAACCCGCGCGAACACAGCTCCACCTCTTGAGTCAACCCACGTCTCGACCTGCTTCAAAACCTTCAAACCCCGAGATCTCGCGGGGGCGAGAAAATTGTCGGCGGGGGGCACCACCGCCGCCTGGAGAGCTGGCTCTTGTGCTTGGGATCCTCCACGAAGTCGCAGACCTCCGTCGAGCGAGTTCGCCGGGGTCCGAACGGACAAGCTCAAGCCGTGCTTGCGACGACCCCTCATAAAAAAGGCTCGCTTTCTTTTGGGCCCAATTCGGAAAGTCCACGATTGGTCGGTCCAATTCGGAGACCAGCCGCGATTTCAAACAAAAAGGTTTCCAGTCCAAAGATCCGTTGCCAAATAGCCAGAAAGAAGTGATGAATGGATGGAGTGGCCGAAGCCCAACTGGACTTTTTGTCCGCGAGAATGGTCTCAAAGTAATGTTGACCCAGATTCATAAGCCACTGTTTAGTAATATGGGTGTGGGTCAAAAATGGGTACCCAAAAAAGCCCAAAATGGAACCCTGGATGTTGGAACCAAGGACTAAAATCTGCGGTCCCCTGGTGGTCTAATTCTGACCCATAGCCATTTGGGGGTGTCCCTGGGATTAGTGGAGAATCATCACTACTGTGGATGGACGAAATCCGTTTCGCACCACTTCGAAACCATGGGAAAGCAATGGTTGTCGGTATTTACAGAGGAATCACCATTCCAGGGTTTCTTAGGTGCAGGATTTCGTCCATCGACAGTATGGGGTGTCCCTGGGTTTGGTGGAGAATCATCACTATTGGAGAGGAACTGCCCCCTAACAATGAACTGGGGTTGATTAACATTCAAAGCCCCTGGAAGGTTTCCGTGGGGCTCGTTTCGCGTGTGGCGTGGTTCTGTGCTTCATTGACTCCAAACAAACAAGGAGAATGGCGAACACGGTGACCTCATTTTGGACAAGGAGGGTATTTGGAGTAGGTCGAAATTGGCGAATGCTGCGGGGTAGAGGGGTCTACGCCTTGTGTCATCCTTTAGTTGCTTGGCTCCATGAATGTTGGTGCCCTGATGCAGTTTCTGACGCTACCCTTCAGGGTTCTAGAAATGGACAGACCACGGCTATGACTACTTCATCACTTTGAGGAGGATTCACTGGATATCACAAAAATGACCAAACGACGAAAACACCATCACTTGACCATTTAGAGAGGACTTTTTCGGGATGGATTCGAGCTCTCTGAGCGTCACTTTGGATTCAGGTGAGCGTCACTGGACGAATTGGTAAAACCTTGCGGGACCCCAAAGAGTCGCTTTCGGGACTGCTTCGTCCACCAAGCCAAAGGTCGAACAGACTTCCTTTTTGGTGCAGCGAAAGAGCTGCAACGCCGGTGTGAAGAAAAACCAAAGGAATTCCGAGCGGTCCCGGAAGCAAGGGGCTCACAGACCTTAGCCCAAAAACCTTCAGGAAACCAAAGGGAAAGTCCTGCTTTTGTTTGGATGTTGCGGGAAATGTTGAGACGGACCCCAGTCGGGCAGCCAGGGAGGCCCTTTTCACTTCTCCGCGCATCGAAGAGATGTTCAAAGCATATGTACCGCGCGCTCTCCCAGGCTGTACGCCCTCGTGGCCTGAAACTGTCCCGGCGCAGATCTGAAACGGTCCCAGTCGGGGACCCGAAGCGGGTTCTAGTAAACGGGTTCCGATCGCTTGGGACCATCATGTGTGCGGTTTTCATGCGTAGCATCCCAAAGGAACCCATTTGTTAGAACTCGTTTTGGGTCACCCGGATACTTTTCGCAAAAGGAGCAGCGGCGAAACAGCGCGCCGGAGCGAGCGCGACTTGGTGGATGTGCCGTCCTCCTTTTGAGAAACACAGGTTGATTGCTCAGGCCCTTCTTTGGCTTGTTAAACGTGTGGCTCGTTTTTCAAACGCTTCGGTTTACAGCTTGTTCGGTTTGCCATGGGACCTGATCTGCCGAAACCACCCGGACGGGATCGCCGCGCAGCGAAGACGGCCTCTGCACCCCATGATTGCGAGGGTGCGCAAGACCGAATTGCGCGCAGCGAAGGGAACCGGCCGCTGGGGAAGGATTCCCCAACTGGGTATTTCTCAAAATACGGGACACCTGTTTGGATGGCTTAAGGGAAATCAAGAGGAAACCAACCCGGAGAAGCAGAAAATTTCGAGAAACACCCAATCAACTGGAGGGACACTGGGACGGTTTGACTCGATTCGTCAAACTGCGGCGATTCGCGACGTGTTTCGGGGTTGGGCACAACTTGGCCATGGCCCCTGTAAAGGGAAACCAAAAGGAGGGTTGTTTTCATTCTTCGTGGCAGTTGGCCCAACCCGCTTTTTTAGCTATTTTTTTTGACTTTTTGTGTCTCTACGTCATTGTACTCTGAGATCCTGCACGAACCTCAGAAGGGTTTTCCAGACCCTCCAGGGTGGGGGCTGTCAAAGGGCCTAGCAAGCAAAAGCGGAGGCTTGCTGGCCGAAGGATCGGGTCCCTGCAATCAAATGACTTCTTTTGCTTGGCAACCTTCACAACGTTCGAAGGTGAACTGGGCTGACTTCACCTTTGCTGGGTTGGCTTGGCGTTTCGGCCAAAGTGAAGGCGAACCGAGCTCTTTGACGCCCCACAAATGAAAACTGATGATATAGCTAAATAGCCGTCGGAAGGCTTCGCCCATTTGCCAACAAAGCCATCCACTTGTTGCGGCTCAATGGGAAACCTTTGCCATACTTGTGGCCTCATTAATTTACCATGATCAAAGTCACCCCCTAGTGATGGGTTAAGGGGAAACAATCCCATTTTCTGACTTTTATAATCCCCAGAAACTGTCGAAACAATGACACCAGTACTTGACCAATAAATGGTGGACTTCCTCTGGTTCCTCTTCTTTGCCCGCACCCTGCTTCGCAATTTCTCAAGATTACTCAGGCGATGCGCTCACCACACCGCAAGTTCCTGCTGCATGTTTCATGCGCATCCAAAGTCGCCGGCCAAAACTTCAAGAAAGGGGTCCCGGAAAAAGGGTCGGGGGGTCCAGGATGATTCCAAGCAGCCAATTTGGAGAAATCCGCTGATCTGCTTACCTTTGGCTGCACAAACAGAAAACGCCATCGAACAGTTGTGATCTGGAAGCCAAAACGAAAACCGACATTACAGTGCACCGCCCCAAGACGCCCCAACAGTTAATCTGCTTTCTTGGAATTGTGGTTTGCTGTTCAAAAATCTGGTGTCCCACTCACCAGAAATACCCTCTACAAGAACTCCAAACCAGCAAAGGGTTACTTGGGCATAGAAAGCCTTCGACCAAAACTCGTGGCCTCAACGGTTGGGGTTTTGGGGTCATGTGCAAGCGAAAACCCGCCCACCAATAACTTCAAAAGGGTTGACTTAGGCAGCCATGCAGAGCAAGATGGTTGGTTTGGGGTTGGTTAGGGCTGGAAAAGTGGGTTTAGGTTTGGTTCAGGGTGTTTAGGGCTCGGTTGGGGTTGGCTAGGGTTGGATTGCGGTTGGTTTGGGGTGGGTTTAAGATTTCTGTAGGGTTTCTTTAGTGAGGGCTCAGGGTGGGGATTTATTTGCGGTTTAAGAGGGGTTTGGTGGGAGTTTAGAGTTGGTTTAGGGCGGTTTGTTTGTTTGGTACTGTTTTGGGGTGGGTTTGGGGGGATGATGGTAGGCTTGCAGGGATGCGTACGTGCTGGTTGCATGTGGGTTTAGGGTTGGTTTAGAATTGGTTTCGGGTGGGTTTAGGTTTGGTATAGGGTTTGATTAGGGCTTGTTTAGGGATGGAGTTTGGCGGTTTAGGGATTGTCTAGTGCTGGTTTGGGATGGGTTGCAAACTATCCTGGCAGTGATGCTTGAGAAGAAAGCATCAAAGCTATAACCGCCACAAGCTTCCAAAGAGAACCAGCAGCCGAGAAAGCCAAACAGGACACCCCCTCACCGACGATCGACCGGCCGCTCGACCGGCCGACCGGCCGAACAACCGAACAACCAGAAACCCCCGGTTTGGATCATCTCCCGCCCAAAACATGGGCAGCCTTCTTGCGGAGGAAAGGTGCCATTTGGGCTCGTCTTCTTTTGAGCAGGGTACCCTTTTCCAGGTTAGCTTTTCAAGGGGAACCAAAAGGAAAACCAGAGCCATGTGGCAACCTGGGCGAAAAACACGCGAAATCTGTGATACTGTTGATGGACGAAATCCTGCACCACCTAAGAAACATTGCTTTTGGGCATGTACAGGGAAATCATCATTCAAGGGCTTCTTAGATGGTGCAAGATTTCGTCCATCCACAGTAGCTATACGAGTCCCAAGGGTTGGTACTGTGGAGTGGAGGGACAAAATCCTGGTTTCAGAACCATTCTCACTGGCGCAGGATTTGTCCACACCACAGTATCATGGACTTAAAGATGCAGCCCAAGCCACATGTTCGTCAGGCTAAGCCCCGCGCAAACAGACCGGTGTCGGACCATCTCTCAGCGTCCCTCTAAGTGGTGGTTTGGATACATATAGACGCCGGTTTGAAGGTTAACCCTCTACGACCAGGGGGTCAAATCCCATCCAACCACTCATCCAAACCACCAATTAAGGTTTCCCTGAATCTCTGCGAATGGGGGGAGCGGTACCTGCCTGAGGGATCTCTGAAAATGTATCCAGGAACCAATACAATCCCCGCCTGTATTATTATGGATCATGGCTCCTTTCACAGGAGCCCTTACCATGATTGCATCCACAAAACGACAAACAAAAAGCGTGTGTGTCTCTGTGTGTGCATGCCTGCCTTGTAAGAATCAACCAGGACGGGAAGTGTTTTTCTCCAAACATGAAAACACATACGTAACCTGGAACAAACAGGGAAACATACATGCACCAAGAGCAATAGAAATCGAGTGCAACAAGACCAACATGAACCAACAAGCAGACCTGGACTTTCCACCCCCTTGCCCCCTTCCAAGAACGGTCCAAAACAAAACTGAACCTGGGAGAACAGTAAGTGGGGAAACAGACTAAGAGCAAAACAGTCAACTTATACCCAAAACAAAAGTTTCAAAAGCACACACACACAAACACACAGAAAGAAAGAAAGAAAGAAAGAAAGAAAGAAAGAAAGAAAGAAAGAAAGAAAGAAAGAAAGAGAGAGAGAAAGCAAGAAAGCAAGAAAGCAAGAAAGCAAGAAAGCAAGAAAGCAAGAAAGCAAGAAAGCAAGAAAGCAAGAAAGCAAGAAAGCAAGAAAGCAAGAAAGCAAGAAAGCAAGAAAGCAAGAAAGCAAGAAAGCAAGAAAGAAAGAAAGACAGAAAGAATGCAAGAAAGAAAGAAAGGAAAAAACATAAAGAAAGAAAAAAATAAATAAAGAAAGAAAGAAGAAAAAATGAAAGAAAGAAAGAAAGAAAGAAAGAAAGAAAGAAAGAAAGAAAGAAAGAAAGAAAGGAAGGAAGGAAGGAAGGAAGGAAAAAAGAAAGAAAGAAAGAAAGAAAGAAAGAAAGAAAGAAAGAAAGAAAGAAAGAAAGGAAGGAAGGAAGGAAGGAAGGAAAAAATAAATAAAGAAAGAAAGAAGAAAAAATGAAAGAAAGAAAGAAAGAAAGAAAGAAAGAAAGAAAGAAAGAAAGAAAGAAAGAAAGGAAGGAAGGAAGGAAGGAAGGAAAAAAGAAAGAAAGAAAGAAAGAAAGAAAGAAAAGAATGGAGAAAGAAAGAAGATATTTGGAACACATGAAAGCTAATGGAAGCACAATTGCAAATGTAATAACAGGAAATAGCAATGGAAACAAGGCATGACAAGGAATTGGAAAGAAATGGAAAGGACGTGAAAAAGAAAGGAGTGTAAATTGCGAAACGAGCACTTTCTCGGCCCGGCCTGGCCTTGGGCACTTCTAGCTAGGAATGGAAAGCAATGGAAAGCAATGGAAAGGAAGGGATAGAAAAGAATGGACAGGAATGAACAAGACAGGGAGAGAAAGTCACAGAAATGGACAGGAGAGGAAATGGGAAGGAAATATAAGCAAAGGAATATAATATAAATTTAATCAAAATAAATATGGAAAGGAATGAAACAAATATGGAACGGAAAGGACATGAAACTGAATCTTAAAGAAATGGAAAGGAACCACGCCGCTTCAAATTTATTGACATGGACAATTGCGAAACGAGCACTTTTTCGGCCCGAGTTGGTCTTGGGCACTTCTAGCTAGGAATGGAAAGCAATGAAAAAAACAAACAAACAAACAAACAAAAGAAGACAAACAAAAGAAGACAAACAAACACACACACTGACACACAGTGACACACACACACAGTCCTAGATGGAGTTGTTCCCTGCCGCGTTGAGCGGTGTGCCGTCCACCAGGTACCCCACGTCCGCGGCGTAGGAGGATTTGGGCAGCGGGGACCCGGGGGAGTGGGGGTCGGCCTTCGCAAAACACGAAAAAAGCGGTTGGCCAAAAATGTGGCTGCAAGTAACTCGGCATAGCAATATCAAACTCTATATATATATTATATTATATATATATATATACATGTACACGGTAGAGCCGGAGTTGGCCTTGTTTGGTCCTAAGGCGCATGAAAGCCCTTTATCATTCGAAGAGCACGGTTTGCTTCTGACTCACTGGGTTGGTTCTACGACCCGATCGGCACAAGTTGTCGGACCTTTCAGAGGTTCGGAGCAACCTTCAATCCTTTCCGAAACCCTGTGAAGATGCTCATAAGCCTCATTGGGGAACGACTCTGCCACGTAGGCGTCCAAAGACTCCAAAGACTCCGTTGTTTCCCCGCGAACATCTCACTACTTTTCTTAAACCAGGAACCACCTGATCACTCCGAAGCCTAAACTCAGGTCTTCCGATCCAAAGACCAAGCGAAAAGCGAACCGGCGCCAGCGACGCCGCGAGCAGCGAGGCCGCGCCTGGATGGTCTCGGGGTGGTTCACGGCGTTGCCGGCCAGGTTCATCGGGGTGCCGTCCGGCAGGTAGCCCACGTCGTTCACGAAGTTGGCCCTGCGATCGGGTGCGACCGATCCGATCGCAAGAAGAAGAATGGCGTTCCGTGAAAGCTGCCGCAAAATTGGACCCTGAAGGAAACCCAAGACCACCGAGCCAACTTCCAGCCATTCAGGTGTCATGATATCCTCTTGGTGGCTAGGAGTAAGCGTGCTGCAGGTCAGGCCAAGGAAGTTTCGCAGGCACGGCAGGGTCAAGGAGGTACATGGGTTACAACGGGAGAAGCAAGTTCTTACCAAGTAGACTGCCTCCTAAAACAAAGCCGGGCACCCGTTTCGGTGGATGGATTCATTGATGTTCCCTTGGAAAAGCAATCCGGGTCCCCTGTCCACAATGGGAACAGAAAACTTACAGCGCCGCATCCCCAGATGTTTCGTGGCTGGCTGACGGTTCGATGGCGTCCCCTACCCAGAGCCGCAGAATGATGACCCGAGACAACCGGGACAGAAATCCGCCAAGGCGCGTGCTGTTTCCAGAAGGGTTTCAAGACCAGTTCGGCAGAAGGTACAAATTTGGGGGTCCTCGCAAACTGGAGGAAGCAAAACCATATTCTACCCTTTCTTAGATGGCCTGGGACTTAGCTAAACGTAACCCTGGTTTTTGGGGTCTTACAACCATGGTAAGTGGGTTACAACCAGGGCAAAGCTAACCACTTAGCGATTCCTCGACCATCCGAGTACCCTTTGGGGTGTCAGCCCGACTCGGCCTGTCGGGGCGGTTCCAGGAAGCTCCCAGGCCCTCGGCTCCAGGCCTGGGCAGCGGGGATCCTGGCGCATGGCTGTCCGGCTGGATGGTCTCCGGGTGGTTCAGCGCGTTGCCCGCGCGGTTCAGAGGGGTGCCGTCAGGCAGGTAGCCCGCCTGGGAAAGAACAGAGCTGGCTTGGTGAGCCCCAACAAACGAACCGTTGTCATGTTTTTGGGAAAGGGGAGAGAGAGAGAGAGAGAGAGAGAGAGAGAGAGAGAGAGAGAGAGAGAAAGAGAGAGAGAGAGAGGGAGGAGAGAGAGAGAGAGAGAGAGAGAGAGAGAGGGAGGGAGGGAGGGAGGGAGGGGAGGGAGGGAGGGAGGGAGGGAGGGAGCGCGCTGCGTGTCTTAGTGGACCCCCACCAAACGAACCGTCGTCATGTTTTTAGGAAGAGTCGGCCTGGCTGCCTAAACTCCAAGAAAACTTAGAAGAGATGGTGTTTGAGCTGTGAACAAAACGCAGGAAGCCATAGAGGCAAGATGTGCCCCGTGCAACCCGCAGGCTCGTCCTTTGCGGCGCCTCTTCTAAAAGTATGTCGTATTCAAAAGACTTCCTACTCTAGGGGAAGCATTAGTTTGTTCCAACCAGCTTATTTTAAAAGGACACCCTGCATTTCCCTTCTAGAGTGGGCCCACATGGAACCCGCAAAGCCGGGATTTGAGGAAACTCCCTTCAGGGGACGGAACCGCTTTTGGGGTTCCTTCTGTCAATTTGTAGTAAGAGGGTCTTTAACCATATCGTCTTTTGTGTAGAAGCAAAGAGCCCAGCTGTCTAAAGGAAAGCCTGCATATCAGGGTTCGATCCAACTAGAAGTCTGTGTGGCTTGTTTTGTTTGTGGCGAAGGGTACCCTTTTCAGACCAACCCTTGGTATGGTAGGAAAAAGCTTTGTTTCTTGCAGCCCCCACCCAAGAATGAACAGAACCAAAACAACAAAAAACCTAAAGATTTGCCAACAACAGCGAAGCGGAAACAAAAGGGGTGAGCACCTTTTGCGACCTTGAATAACTATGGACCAAAACAGGTCAAAAGGTAGATTCACTCCGGGCAACCGGACTATCTAGCTGTGCAACGACTCTGTCCTTGATGTATCTTCTTTCGACTGGTCGTGTGATTTCAAGGCCATGAGCTGCTGGGAGTTTCTGTGTTGTTCCTTTTCACCGCACTCTTTGTAGTCGCTCCTTCTCACGTCCAAAAACAACCTTATATCAGGCTCCCCCTGGTTGGTGGTTGGGACTGATGGTGTGGTGGTCATTTGCCCTCTACAAGAACCAGGGGTTCAAATCCCCAAACAATCCCACCCACCAGTTTACGGGATACCTGATACAACCCCAGGAGCCTACGGTAGAAGGAAAGAAACGCTGGCACTTGAGCGATCCAACCTCGTGCGAAGAGTTGCTTCCATACGCATTCCATCGGGCCTTGGAATCGAGTCTTAGCCCCCAAAGACTGCAGGGAATGAGAAATGGAATGCGCCAATTGCAAGCAACTTCTGTGATACCAATGCAAGGCCGTGTATCACAGAAGTGCGAACCAACCCGGGCCCCACAACCCCGAGAACCGTGACCTCGTTGGTGAAGCTCAAGTCCGCGTAGACGTCCTTCCATTTGGTTAAGACCCCTGGAAGAAGAAAAAAAAGTAGGGATACATTCCTTTTAAACCCAACAAGGGGAAATGACCAACAAAAAAAAAGTATTCTTAAGCAAATGGAAGCGTCCCGCTGCATGGAGTACGCAAAGCTCGCCGGCTGCATGCGGCGATCGCCGCTGGCCGCCGTGGAGGTCGACGCGAAGGTGCCGGGGGCGTTGGCCGTCTGCGCCGAGCCGCCAGTGAAGGATGGGGCGCCGGGCTTCAGGGAGTTGTTCCCCGCGAAGCTCAAGGGGGTGCCGTCCATGAGGTACCCCACCTGCAAGAAGCAAGAGAGGATCTGCATCACGGGTGGAACCGCTCGATTTGGACCCCTGTGTGAACTACATTATGATTTGTCCAAGAACATGGTTGAAAAAACCTCCTTGTAGTTGTTTTTAGGTTCCAAGGGGCTTGTTTCAACACTTCTGCCCCCCAAGTCCCAAGTCCCCCCCGGTTCGAGTCCAAGCTGCATCTGCGGCGTAGACCGACTTGGGCAGAGGCGAGCCCGGCGCGTGGATGTCCGGCTGCATGCGCTCGGGGTGGTTGATGGCGTTGCCCGCCGCGTGCATCGGGGTGCCGTCCGGCAGGTACCTTTGGGGAACTCCGACAAAGCGGCACGCCAAACATTTCTAGGGGTACCTTCCGGGGTACTCAGCCCGAACCAACCGTAACCCGACCTTACCTTCATTACTCTTGAGTTGGTGTTGTTGGTGGTTTGGAGCTTGGGAAATGCCTTTCCTGCTTGCTTTCAAAAGGTAGGGTTCAATTCAGCAAACCATCAATCCAAACCACGCAAAAGAACGGTCGAGATGCTAAGCCGCTCAGTCCAAACCAACAGCAGTCGACCAATGACATTGGCTGCTCACAAAACGTCAGCTTGAAAGTGGTAGATTGTGGTGAATATTGAAAAATGCCCGCAAAAACATCGCGCATCTATCAAAATGAAGAGGACCCCTCGTTGCTGCGACGTCCAGAAAACCCCCCCCTCTGGGCCCTTTTCTCCGGCTCGTTCTCGGCCGAAAAAGCGCGCGTTGAATGGAAATCCCCGTGCCGTCTCCAAGACCATTTCCTCACCTTGAAGGGGGATCGAACCGCTCGGCAAAGTTTACAATATCCAAGACCTGAAATAAGAATTGCATCCGGAAAAGCATCTTCATCTCCGGTGGAATCGCTCACCATGAAATCGGCAGAATCCCTAACCACTCAAGGAGAAAGCGGCAGCCCACCAACTGTTTTACACCACGACCAAGGTTCTGCTTGACTCGCCTCTACACGTGGTGGAAAGATCCATGGGTTTGACTGGCAAATGAAATCGGGATTCAACAAGAAGCTTGCCTACAAAGTGCACCCATCTGACCTTCTCACTAATTGGTGGCTTGTATTGGGTGGTTTGGAGCTTGGGAGGCATCCCCTTTAGCCTCAACAAAAGCCAGGGCGGCTTCAAAACCACATCCGATACTATCTGCACTTGAATTACTTGCTGGTGCGGAATCGGCAGTGAATGAGAAAGGGAATGACTGGTGGTGTCCTAGGGTTCCCTGGGCTTTCCCAAAAAACCCGGGGTCGGTCATTCCCTACTTCTAGCGCCGATCCCAAGCTGTTTCCCAGCAAGTGGTTTCCTACTTCTCGCCACCGACCCCCCGAAGCGCACGCTTCCGACCCCCCGAGCCACCGGGACGACCGCCACTTGGCTCGCTCCGAGCCGCCCCACGGAGTTGGTGAAGTTGGCCCTGGGCAGCGGAGATCCGGGCGTGTGCAGGTCCTCTGCACACAAAAAATCGGCCCTTCAGAAAGACGGGAGACGGTCCATTTGGCCAAGGAAACAAAAACGAAACACTGGTTCCTTGGAAAAGGAACATTTGGAAAAGAAAAAGAAGAAAAAAGAAGAGAAAAAAACGTTGTTAGATATGTGTGTTCTTCGTGTTCTTGGTTTCAGAAACAAAACAAACAAATCGCATGCATCGCGCGGGGCCCGGTCCGGCGTGATGGTCTCGGGGTGGTTCAACGCGTTGCCCGCGCGGTTCATGGGCGTGCCATCGGCCAAGTAGCCCACGTCGTTCTGGAACTCCAGGTCCGCGTAGGCGTCCTGACTCAACGTGGGGAAGAGGGTCTCTCAGTGTTTTTTGTTGAGTTGACATTCCCTTTTTTCATTGATATAAAGGGAAACGTCGGAGCTGGTTTGGGGGGGGAGATAAAGTGGATGGCTCTTTTTTGAGTTGGCAGCCTGTTTTTGGTGGTTTGAAAGAGAAACCAAAAGGAAAACCACCGTTGTTTTTCTGTGGAGGGTCCCCTAAGAAAAGATACGCCCAAGTCAAACCCATGTTTGGAGGCGTAGGATTCGGGACCCCCGATCAGGCTTGGCATCCTGAGATTTTTGGCCTCTCACACTTAGAGGGAGCCCCCAAACCCCCGTGGAAACCAAAAACTCGTCCTTCTGGAAGGAGTACTGGAAGGAGATCCCGTGCGACACTTCGGGGCCCGCGCTCACGGCTCCCACGTAGGCCGCTGCTGCCGGAGGCGTTGAAGGAACTGGGGGCGGAGTGGCCTGACGAGATTTTGGCTGGTCCGTGTGTGGTTGCTTCAGGTTGTTTGGTTCAGGTTGGTCCATCTCTGGTTGGTTGGACGTGGTTGGTTCATCATTTTGGTCAAGGGCAAGAAGAAGTCTCAAATTGTTGAGCCAAATGTTGAGCCAAAGGGTGTCTCCACTCTGACCTACCCAGGGAGGACGTACATCTGGGTGGTCAACATTAGGCACCACCAGGAATTGGACTGCAGGATGATGTCCATGCTTCAACTTACCAGGGCTTGCGCCATTTTGGGGGTGCCCCTATTTTGGACCCACAGCCGTCCGTCGTTCGTCATTTTGAGGGCAAAGATGTCTCTGTGTCCAAATCTCCAGAGGGTCTCTCCGCTTTCATTGGGGTTCGAAGCTTCAGGACCTGGGCACGATGTGACTTGGGGGACTGGAGGCTATGGCACATCTGCCAAGTACCCTGCTGCTGTGGTGGACAAAAGTGTCTATGGGAGAGTCTTTACCGCTCGTACCCTTACCCGCCATGTTCTTCGGCTTCTTTGAAGCTTTGCCTTGCAGAGCGCAAAATGATGTGGCTTAGCAGATGAGACATTGGCTGGCAGATGGGCGGTCCATTTGGAGCGCCCATTGGCCCGACTCTCAGCCTTTTCAACCCTCCCAGCCCTTCTGCTACCGCCCAGAACCGCCCAAAACCCATATGGCCAGGGGTCAAAATCCCGTACCCCCAGTGAACATCCCATTGGTTTTGACCCACAGCCATAGAGTTTCCCCTAAGCTCTCCAAAACGGACCCTTTGGTAGACTTCCCAGCTTCTCAGCGGCTCCGATTGGGTCGACGGAAACCCGGCCCACAAGAAAGCGCGCCTGGTTGCCGGCTGCCGGCACGTATCCGGCATCCGCCCGGTAGGGCGCAGTGGGCGCAGAGGCCGGCATATGGTTGATCGCCTCAAAAGCCAAGCGCAGTCAGCGAGACAAGCAAGTAGAGGTGCTCTTGCCTATCTGGACATGCGTCAAAAAGAAGGGACCCCCCAAATGGTTGTCCCTTCAAAAAGAACGACGCAACCCCGCGTCAACTTTTGCCAAGCCTAAAATCACGCTTTGGATCGTGGCTCATAAGTAGTGAACCTTGAAAGAAAAAATAATGCAAGAAGGACCACAACAAAGCCCATGTGTCTCAACAATCACAGCCAACACCCGGCGGCTTAAAGCGATATAATCAATCACGCAAGGAATCAGATCCTACGGCTGTTTTGTTGGGTGGGGTCAAGCTCCAATTGTGTTCTTTTGTGCTTGGCTTGCGTACTCAAAGATGGGTATTGCACACACACAAAATGTTGATGTTCCCATCTAAGTGTATGCATATTCAAGATGGTGTAGACATACTAACACGCAGCGTTTCTCAAATTGTGGGACCCTTGCAGGTCTTAAAACCATCCCAGAAGGGACCCTTCTGTTGACACACACGCACAGACAGTTGCATGAGTGTACTTTCTGGAATGCCGTACGTGTTGCTTTTCTTGGCTCGCCGGATGGCTGCGGCCCCTGAATGGTTCAGCTATATCAACCCCCACATCTATACATATATATATATAGTATTATTATAATAATAATAATAAGAATAATGACAATAATAATAATAATAATAATAACAATAATAATAATAATAACAATAATAGTAACAATAATAATAACAATAATAATAACAATAATAGTGAGAAAACAACTGGCGACAGATTCAGAGTATTCGGCTTCAGCCGTGCGGCGTTGCCCGCCATGTTGATGGGGGTGCCATCCGGCAGGTACCCGACGTCGTTCACGTAGGAGCCTGGCAGGTTCATACTGTGGTGCAGGTGTCGGAAGGTATCAGAAGGGTCCTGATTTTCACAACTATGAATCCGGCCCATTTTGCCGGTTGAGTTGTCATGTCCATCCCTGTAAAGAACCAGTGGGAGCGCCGGAAAAACAACTTCATGGGCAAGAGGGTACTCTTGATTTCCTTGCTCATGTTTCAGGTTGCCCCGAGTTGGTGATTTGGATCAGTGGTTTGATGGGGAAGCTATCCCCTAAAGTCGAAACCACCAAACAAACCAGGAAGCTGATGACGTCCATGGTCATTGCCAGCTTGTCAGCCATCCACTTCTTCTTCAATCGCAGAAGTGCACTACGTCGGGTTTTGGATTACTGCAACGTTCTTCAAAAAGGCCCTGTCCACTTCCATAGTGGTTGCAAAGAGGGACACAATTGTCAAATGAGGTTGGTCAAAATGTCCAGTGGGGACATGGGGGTCTCGCTGAATCTACCACAAAAAAACACTTGCTCCCGACGTCTGCAATACCCAAGTGGACCATGTTCCTTCGGTACTGTGCATGGACAAAAACTCTGCACCACTTTGAAACCAAGGGCAACCATTCTTTCTTGCTATTTGCAGGGGAATCATCAGAAACCAAGGTTTCTCAGGTGGCGCGAAATGGATTTCGATTTCAACCATCAGTATCACAGAAAGCAGCATTCCCTTGACACCCTGTCTCCCTCCTTCCCCCACCCCTCGCCCAGCATCCCCCTCCGCCAGTCCGCTCGCGCCGGCTCGCGCAGGCGCCTTGCGCGGAGTAGGCCTGCACCGGCGGCTCCGGCTGGTTGCGCTCGGGGTGGTTGATCTTGTTGCCGGCGGAGCTCAAGGGAGTGCCATCTGGCAGGTACCCCGTGTCGTTGGTGTACTCGTTGTTCCTCAGAAAAAAACAACACTCAAGAGAGCCCTTGATAGCATCAAACTCTGTTCCTCGGAAACCAGCAGGACTCAAGAGAGCCCTTGATAGCGTTCCGAGCACCTTGACAGCATCAAGCTATGATTTTTTACCCTCCCTGGCTTCCCGATAAGGGGTGTTAACAAGGTGGCCCAATGCACGAGTAGCTTCCCAAATATTCGATTCCATTCTGAATCTTTCCCTGGAAGATCACAGAAAACTGCCGGAAAAACGGCGGGTCCATGGTTTTACTTTGCTCAAGATCCATCCCTGGCTGCTTTTGTTACGTGGGAAGAACAGTGGTCCTCTGTAACACGAAGCCATGAAAGACAAGCTCACTTTAAAGGTGATGTTCACATCTAACAAAGCGGAAATCCAGGAAGTCCTGGCGCAACTCAAAGCCGACTAAACTATGGTCGCGTCTTCCTGGCGTGGAAAACTCTCCAAAAACATGGAATCCTCTGCGACCTTTGGAGAGGGAGGTCCCCGGTACTGTCGACCGGGGAATCAGCCGCTGATTTGTGGAGGGAGTCCCACTACAAAGGAACATGGTTGATACACCCGAGCCGATTTGCCAGACAAGTCAAACCAAGTCATTCCCCAAAAACACACACAGAGAGACCCACAGAGACGCGCCAAAAGAACGGCACAAAGGCAAAGCAAGACGCACACTGGAAAATCAACAGGCACAGAGGAAACGCACAACGATCATATAAAGCAAGAGTAATGAATAGAATTGCTTTACGGCGAGAAAAGTGCACCTAAAAAAAGCCTGGCAAGTCGTTTGATGCAAAGATTCTGGCACACCACCGGGGTGAAGTTGAAGCTGTCATACTTCCTGGCCACCTTGGCACTTTCGACCGATTCGGCTGCGAAAAGGTTCGCTCTTTGTGGGCGGTCGGAAAAGCAAAAGGAAACCCAACATGTTGAGGCCCGCAAAGGTCACTTGAGCCTGGCAAAAAGAATGGCTTCACATCACTTCGCTTCCTGCTGGAAAAGGACACATGACGGACACCTGGGACACAGTTCGGCAAAAACGCTTCGGCCAAAGTCCGGCCGAGCCGCCTTTCCGCGCCTAGCCTTAGCGCCCGCCACGGCCGTCGCGCCCGCAGCTGCGGCGCAGGTTGCGGCGGCACTGAAGGAGGCGGAACTGGATTGGCCCGCAATGGTCGCCACGGTCGGAGTCACGCGGGCCGCCTGGCTCTGGTCGCAGAACAAGTGTTGAAACATGTGGGTATGGGTCAAAAGTACACCACCAGGGCACCGCAGGTTTTGGTCCATGTTTCCATTTACCAGGATTCCATTTTTGGTACATATTTTTGACCCGCAGCCATGTGTTGTAAAACCTAGCGGTATCCATACCGATCGGCTACTATAGTCGTGGCTTCACTGGAAGCACTGGTGTAAACTTGCACTTCTAGGGACAGGGATGTTTTTGCTTTGACCAATTCAATTCCCAGCCCCGCCTGAGCAGCCTGCGGAGCCACGAAGCCGGGGCCGTTCAAAAGGACGAGGCCGGCGGCCGCGGCGGGCAAGGCAACCATGGCTTGCTTGGACGACATGGCTTGCGAGTCGAGGTCGAGGGCGAGATCGCGAATGCGGACGGGTCTGAGCCAAACGGTCTAAACGTCCACGTCATGTCCGAGCGAAGTTGCCGGAGCTACAAATGGTGGCTTAAAGGGAAGCCACCGGGAGAAGCGCATGCGCAACCGGCCAAGCACAGTGCGAAGGTTCCGGGCGCCACAAAGCGAGTCTGGAAACCATTGAACCAACAAAGTCAAGAATAAACTTCTCACATTATTCAAGGCATGTCAAATGTCCGTTCTTTCTTCTCATCTTTCACCATTTCCACGAACTATTCAGAAGGGCTTCTGAGACTTCGCCAGGGCTCTGCTTTTTTGCATACAGCTCTTAAACCCACGGGATCGGCAGTGATCCATGGCTTCGATCACAGGTGGGTTCCGAAAATGGATTCTGATGAAAATTTGGGTCAAAACTGGGTACCCCAAAGCCCAAAAATGGCTCAAGGCTTGGGTAATGGAGCCAAGGACAAAAATCTGTCCAATTCTTGTGGTCAAATTTTGACGGTCAAAACCCTGTACCCCTGGTGAACATCAAAATAGGTGGTACATGAGCGTTCACCCGCCCCCATGGCCATTTAGGTCCTTCTTCCAGGCAACCAGCAATAAAGCCCGGATCTTCACACATTCCGATTCAGCGCTGGGATCGCGGCGACATCTTTCAGGCACCTGGCCAGATTGATTGATGGCCAGTACTTGGTTGCAAACTCTGCTCCCCTGCTAAAGTTTTTAACTTTTAGTGGTTTAATACGGAAAACCCATTAGTTGGCAAAAAGTTAAAGTCCTAACATCCAAGCAAAATGCACCAAAGAGTAAGGGAATTCCGGTGCTCTGTGTTTTGCTAGACTGGAAGGAGGTGCTTCCAACCGCCAAGCGTGTCACCTGGTGGTTTTCCCCCCGCCCCCGACTGGAAACCAGGAGGCTGTTCAAATCTCCGTGTGTGTCAGACTGGATTGGGAAGATGATACATGACACATGGTGGCAGTTGAACACCAACGACAAGAATGGTCTTCCGAAGAATGGTGATCGGGCATGGTGGGTTGGCAACCCAGGAAGGAACACCAATTTACGATGTCCACTAAAGGGTTCGGGACCCAATAAAAATCACACCCAAGTAAGTTTGAGGACTCCTAAAGTACGCTTTCCAAGTTGAGGTCTGTCAAATTGTCATGGAATGGAACCTCGAAGCATGGAAGAAGTAGAAACCAGCCTGCTTTCCAGCTTTGGTGTGGGACTCTCCGCTACAGCCCGAACGAGGGCTCAGGGGCTCTTCTTTTGCCACCTGTTTTGGGCCGAGCTTGGCATGCCTCCGAAGTTAAACAACTTTGTGGCCAGGCAGCTTTCCCATTCAGTAGCCTTCACCCACGGGGGTTCGGGCCTGGGTTGGCCGAGGAAGCGCCTTGCAAAAAAGGAGAAGTGGCTAAAACCAATGCAAATGGTCCATGACCATCCCCAAGCAAAGGGCAGTTTTGACTATGCGTATGACCACTTTACCACTGGCAGGATGGTCCAAGAGTATCGGGCCCTCCCAAATTTTTTTGGCTTGGGGCGTACTTGCTCCGTTTCCACGGGGACAGTCGTCTTCCAACGGGGAGTCCAAAGGCACTTCCAGGTTTGTGGGTACCCAAACCGACCATGTCCTACGACCAAGCGCTTCAAGGTTGAACGCTGAGCTCAGATCTCGGCAAAAACGGAGAGTCGAGAACAGGCGTCGATTATGTTCAATCCAGAAGCATCACCCAGCACCACCACACGAAAACTCATGTGTGATACCACACGGTTCATTCAGCAAAGAAGGCGACCTCTGAAAAAGGACTTGCCACTTCTGTTGGTTGAAACTGACAGCCCCAGACATAGGGAACCTTTTCGCCGGGTTCCTCAAAAAGGATACGTCCAAAAACCACAGAACATCCTCCAAGGCTGGCATTTGGCTGTGGGTCAAAACCAATGGCATCCCATTTTGGGGTAGGTGCACCACCCAGTTTGGTCTATTTTAGTGGGCATTGGGATGTTTGGGATTTTGACCCATGGCCGGCCCCACCCGTCCGCCTGCCCATATCGATGCGCATGAACTCCCGGAGATCCGTGTCGGCGTTCACCCGCACCGGGCCTCTCGAGTTCAGTTTTGAGGCAGCGCGCGGGTCGTGGCGCCCCCAGATGGCACACTAAGGGTTGAGTCCCCATTATTTCCATCCATCCTTCTTTTCGAAAACCGGATCCGTTTCTTTTCTCTGGGTTTCCGGAGGTTTTCCAGAAAGAAGGACCCCTGGAAAGAATGGGAAAGGTAGCACTAGAACACTGGAATTGGAGTACCTGCCTTTCCCATGTTTCTCCAAAAACACACTTGCTCGTGAAAAGGCACCGGTCTTCAGAGGCGCTTTGGTTGGTTCATGCTCCAGGATGCTTTTGACACCCGCTTGGAACAAGAGGAAACATACACTTTTTGGTAGGCCGTTTAACGAGGTCTAAAAGGACTCCTGGTCCTCTACTTACTACATCGACAGAACCACAAACCCCCGATCACTTGAGCTGTCGAAGCCAGCTCCAAACAAAGAAACCTAAGGGAAGAAACCTACGCCCCCGCTTCTTGGAAAGCTCCCTGGGGCCTTTGGGTAAACAGCGCCGAACTTCCACCAACATACTGCCGGAAAACGCATGCAGTTGCGCTCGGAGAGTGGTCCTCCCTTTGCAGTGTCAAACTTGTGAGGAGACAACTAGTGGTTTCATGGTCCCTTCCTTTTCAAGCCCATCCCTTGTGAATTGTTCCCTTCAAAGCAACCCAAAACAGGTTCAGGCTTCCCATCTCGAGTCTCCTCTCTCTCGCCCCAGTTTTTGCGCAGGCCGGCCGCCGCCTGCCACGATGGCCAGGGGCGTCTTGGACAAGTCCGAGGGCAGCGTCAGCAGCTCGAACTCGATGTACCTCGATGCCGCGCTCCCACGCTCCGTGAATCGCTGAGTAAAAACCCCAAAGCGGTTGAAACAAAAGTGGTGAGGGCAGAAAGCCCTACTGTGGATGGTTGCGCAATCCGTTTCGCACCAGTGAAGAAACCCTGGTGTCTGAGGATTCCACTTTTTTGGCAGCAAACAACGGTTTCCCAATCCATTTCGCACCACCTAAGAAACCCTGGTGCTTGATGAGTCCACGGTTTCTTTTTAAAGCAAACCATGGTTTCAACCATGGTTTCCGAGGTGGTGCGAAGTGGATTTCGTCCATCCGCAGTAGCTCCCGCGCTGCCGCGCTCCCACGCTCCGCGAATCGCAGAGTGAAAACCCCGAGAGGGGGTGGAAACCCGAGTGGTGTACGGCACTTCCCCGAAACCCGACTTCTACTTGTCAAAGGGCTGTTATTTGTTCTTTGTTTTGACCGGGGGGTTGTTGATCCCCGGCTGGTTCAACTTTTGCTGAGATATGTCAGAAATAGCAATTCCGAAAGACCCCCTACCAGTATCAGGGTTCCTTGTATGATCTGCCATTGGCCCAAGAAGCTAGTGCCACAACCCCCCAAAGAAACTACGCCACGCCTGACATCCACTCAAAACTACTCAATGAGGGTGCTGGAAAACCAACAAATATTCTAGTCGTCCAAAACAAACGGCCCATATTAACATGGCAACCAAAGCGCAATGTTCAAATCACCCCAAAAAACCGGAAACATGAAGATCCCCCGTGGACCCAAAAAGAACAGCCCAAGTAGCTGGAAAGCCTAAGATCAGATCCGCTTGATTTGCCTTGTTTTGAAAACCGCCTGAGCTCTGAAAAGTGTCCACCATGCGGGGAACGCGCCCTAGTCATCCGCAATCGGTGGTCGACATGGCCAAATAAGCCCTTGACTGGTGGGCGGGATTTGGCTCTGGCTCAAAAAACCGGTACCAAAATGGTACCCTGGCAAGTGGAAATATGGACCAAAACCTGCGTAACCCCCCGTGTTTAATTTTGAGCCACACCAATTTAAAGAATGCACCGATCCTAAGGCTAGAGACCCTCTCAACTTTCGAGTTCTCAAAACATGTCCCCCGAACTTCAAGAGATATCTCCGCATGTACCCTCGTCCCAAACTTCCAGAAAAAGAGCAGATAGGGCCCTTGGGCTGAAACACCTACAAATCGATTTGCATGACGGGAAAAAAGTCACCTATAAGCCCCAAAAAAGGGCTTACTCTGCCCGGCAGATAGATGGCTCAAAAAAAGCGGTTTGTGCCATCTCATCTACTGTGGCTCCAATAAGGGCTTTACACTTCGGGCGTCGGGGCCAGATAATTGGGGGTCAAACGGGATGCAAAATAGATGGCACATTTTTTTTAGCCCCCTACCAATTTATGGCACAATTCAGTGCGTCCACTCGCTCACTGGCTCGCTCGCTTGCTCGCTCGCTTGAAATAAGGGCTTTTTTGGTCCCCCCCCGCCCCCATGAAATCCTCACTTTGGGATGTAAACACCTCATTCGCAACCCTTCACTCCACGGCCTGCGCGTCTTGGGGCCCCCGGCTCCCCGCCGTCCTTCTCGCGGGACGCGCGCAGCTCGAAGGCCTGTCCGAGCGAAGGTCTCGTCTGTGGGGTTATTCTAGGAAGGTTAGAGTAAGACATGGTTTAAAACAAAAAACGGGGGTTACCCTACTTGAATGGTCTGGAAATTGAATCGCTGAGTGGTTGGCTTTGCCCTGGATGTAAGCCACCAAAGCCATGGTTGCAAGTTTTGAAGAAAACCAAAGGTACTAACCATTCAGCGATTCCTCCCGGACCATCTGGCTGTGGCTCAAAAAACCTGTACCAAAATTGAACCCTGGTAACCCTGCTGCAAACATGGACCAAAACCTGCGTAACCCCTCCTGTTTAATTTTGAGCCACACCCATCTAAGTAAGCCCTCAAAAGGCAACTCCTGCCCAAAACCGTCCACTAGAGGCCTTCAATTGATGGTCCTTCCTGATGCTGAAGGAACCAAAAACCGGGGCCATCGGTGTTTGGAGGTTTTCTCACAAGGGACCAGTCGTCTTTTCTATCGTTCTCCCTGAGGCACACTGAGGGATTCATCGCAAATCGATCGGCACCTACCTGGTGCATCTTACTCCAACTCAAGACTTGGACCAAAACGCCGGACCATCTCTTGCCCTGGTGATACTGTGGATGGACAAAATCCACAGTATCACCACTTCAAAACCACGGTTGAAACCATGGGTTGCTGGCATTTGCAAGGGAATCGTCATTCCAGGAGTTCTTAGGTGGTGCAGGATTTCGTCCATCCACAGTATCATCTGTTGATCCCCTGTTCGGTTGCAAGGACTCCGGCGTCCAACTTCGTGCCACTGAGCACATTGGCCAGTCCGTGACCCATTTTTCCAGAAGCCAACTGGCAAGGAAACAAGAAACCAAGCGCGCCGAACAAGCAATCAAAAGTTCCTTCCACTAAGCGGATGTGGAAAAAAAAGGTGGGCCTGCGCCTCCCGGGGTCCAAAGCTCAACTAACCGAATCGGGGAAATGTGGTCCCCTACCTGGGCGTTCAATAAAAGCGTCAGTTAAGTAGGCTATAACCATAGTTATAAGGAGACCAACCCCAGCTACCAGCCACGTGTACCCATGGTTATAGCCTACTTACCTGGCGATTTATTGTAACCTACTTACCCTAGCTAAGCCACTTGTAACCTTACCCTTGTAACCATGGTTTGAACACCCAAGTACCCCCCGCAGCAAAATGGGCTTTGGGCTTGCGTTTGGCAAGCAGGTGTTCGGCGCCCCATCCTGGGAGCGGCTTTCCCAACTCGGGGCGTTTCAGCGGATCCCAATGGACAAAACGATCCTCAGCTTCTGCCCGGACCCAAAACCCAGATCTTTGATTCTGGGCTAAAATTGGTGAACCTCAAAATGCAAAAAAAAAAAACTCAACAGAGGCTCTTCACGGCTTCCCAGAGGCTTTGACCAAACAAACGAGTGTCTTTTTGCTAGGCCCCACACATTGCTTCGGTTCTCCCTTGAGTTTCCCGTCAAAACCATCCTTCAAGACAAGATGTGGGTGCCGAGCCTCAAAACAAGACAAAAAAGAACTTCGAGCCACCCAAGTCTCAAACCGAAGTAATGATAATAATAATAATAATAATAATAATAGTAATAATAATAATAACAACACGCACACACACAAAACATGGGGGATAAATAATAATAAAACATGGACATGTTCCCCCTGGAGCTGATTCAGCCCTTCTGGAGCTCACCTCGCTTCGTTCTGGTCACCTCCAGCCCTTGGCGGGCCGTCCCGGCCTCCCACCCTTCGGGCAGCTTCTGCTCGCCCACCAGGCGCAGAGTCAGCAGGGAGCTGGTGTACCTGAGAGGTGACCGCCGCTGGTTTCGACATCGAAACCCATAGAAAACGCACCACCGTGTTTGGTTTGAAGGGGAACCCTTTTTGGTTTGCAGGGCAACCCCAGGCTTTTTTGGGGGGGGCTTGGGTTCAAGGGAAACCAAGAGGAGACCACTCGTTTTGGGGGGAAGCCCCTACTGCGGATGGGTTGAAATCGAGATCCAAACGCACCACCTAATTCGGAAACCCTGCGATGAGGCGATATATGATTCCCCTGCAAATAGCAACAAACATCGATTTCAGCCATGGTTTCAAGGTGGTGCGAAGTGGATTGCGCAACCATCCACAGCAGGACAAGCTTGGCCCTAACGATGGCCCACGCTGGTATCTCAGAAAAGGTGATTTGCCACAATGGTTGAGTTCAGGCAAATTACGATGTGTGGTTAGGGCAATTGGCCCCCTGGTTCTTGTTCAGGGTAAATGGGAAACCCTGAATCACCTAACCGCCGATCCAAACCACCACTTTCGTGGAACATTGGACCATGGCTGGGGAACTAACCCGAAATCAGTGATGTCAGTCGGCCATCCTGATGACTGCTTTGTCAATTTAAAGAGGTTTCCTCCAGCGAAAAACATAGTTGCCCGCAACAATCAATATAGAACCCTAGAACCCACCAGAGGATCCCTTTTCGAAGACAATGGTCTTCCATCCTCCAGTCAGGTTTCATACGAGGAAGTGTGACGGCATCGCTAGGGAATGCAGGAGACATGGAGGTATGTAGCTTACAAGAACAGTCGATGGGATATAAATGTGAATAATGTGTATGGACCAGAAGTCTGTCAAAGACCTTCCGTCTTCGGAAAATATCTCTAGGAGGGCAAATACTGTGGATGGACAAAATTCGCTGACTTGTCCATCCACAATGTGGGTGTGTCAACTCCAGAACATGACTTCTTTCTTTTAGATGTCCCTTCAAACCAGCCCAGAAACGCTACCCTCAAACCAGCGCAAACCCAAACTTGTTTCCAGTCGCCAGTCCAGCCGCGCACGAGCCGTACGAGCAAAACAAACCGCCGTCTCTCACGGCCTGAAGGACCTGCAAGCCTTGCGAGCAGTCCCCAACTACCTCACAACCATTCTTTCTGGGGTTCTGCTGTTGAGAACATGGTTCTTGCCCACAAAAGCAGGGTGATGTCCCAAAAATGAGATCTTAGAAGCGTGCCAAACATGGCCTTGTTGCATCAAAGGCGATCACAACTTTGGTTGCGAGGTCAGACGCGCTCCTTGTGGCGTCTTTGGGCCTCGAAAGTCCCCGATGCCGGCCTCAACTTGCCACCCTTCTCCCTGTTCGACCACATAATGATGTAGTTCGAGGGCGACACAACCTGAGGACCGAGGCAGCAAAAGCTGGGCAATTCAAAATGAGTGTCGTTGTTTAGAGTATATACTCCTGTGGGTTGCTTTGAAGGAAGCCAAAAGGAGACCACTCATTGAGGGCTCCCCCCATGTTCAGACCGATCCCACATGAATGCTTCGCAAATCCCAATCTCCACCCTTTTGTGACAAAGGGGGTCCTTGCTTCCTTTCGCAGATCCGGGAAGGCAAAGAATGGCGGTCTCCTTTTGGTCTGAGTTGCATCCTAGACGCCCTGGTTGACGCTGGGAATCATTGCAAAGCTGACCCCGGGATTTCGCCGCTAAAGGCTTTGTCCCGAAGCGAGGTGAGGAAGTCACCAGCTCGTTTCACGTGTTTGTGCTCAAATGACATGAATGTGTATTCTCTCCTGTTGGAGGAAAAATTAGAGAACCTCCAAACTGCCCCCCCCCCCAAAAAAAAAAACTTGGGAATCACGGCATAATCCTTGTTGTCAGACCGCACTGGACCATCCTCCTCACTACTTTGTCGATATAAAGGGGTCTTCCTTTCGTATCTGGAAAGTTGTTCCCTAAAACAGGGGTCACTGGCAATCCCCCTTCATAACTTCCAATTCGCTGGTGGCGAAACGCCGTTTTTGAAGATCGCAGCGGCTTCGCTCCTGTAAAAAGGAAAAAAAACTGCCCCTCACCTCCATGGGCTCTGTAAAAACCCCTTTCTAGGGCCCAAACGCGCTTGTTCTGGTCCTTGTCCCAGAAGAGCTGCAGGTTGATGAAGCCCGTTGCCTCTCGTTCGCTTTTTTTTGCCGGCTCCAATGGCTCCAATGACTCCTTTGCTGCTTGGGGTTGTAAAATAGCACATCTGCTCAATTTGCAAAAACGTTCTGTTCTAGCTCTTTTTGGAGAGTTCACAAGAGGGGTTGTATTCCGTGAATTTGTTTTCGAAAGACCCCTAAAAGGATTCTCTCAAAAAAAAAAAAAACGGACATGTGCAAAAAGTTGTTGATATTTGCAGGTGACTGTGGGAAACTTGTCCGGAAACAATCAGCTGGAAGCTGCAGAGTGTGGCAACCAAAAAAAGCAACGCATGGCCCCGCCAAAAGCGATTGCCCCACGTTAATGTGGGGTCGACATTAGGTGGCGGAAGCTTGACTGTCCCCATATTTCCAGGGGATTCTGGTTGTCCCAGGCCGAACATGACGGAACCTTTCTCAACATGACTCTTTTCTTTGTTCAGCGGGAGATCAGCGATTTTTTGGGGTGCCCATCCACTTTCTTGACAGGTTGTAGGAAAGAAAAGGTTTTTTAGGGGACATGTTTGAAGGGGTTTAAAAGTCTGTTGCTTTTTTTGCGTCAACAGGCAAACCCTGGAAGCCGGGAGCATTTGTAGAGAACCCATTCCCTCAAACCGAAGCACTTGATGTCCGGTTTGCTTTCGGTTTCCCTTATCAAAGTGGCACGGAGGTGAAGGCGAATGTGCTTCTTCTTCCTTTTTTCTGCGGGAATCCCTGTTAGAGTAATGAAAACTCTCCTGATTGACATGGAGCCAACAAACAACACGCATTTACACAGGAATCCTATCTTGGGGGACCCCTTCTCGGGCAGCATGTGATTCTCCAGCCGATTAGTCATACTGTGGATAGACGAAATCCTGCACCACTTGGAAACCATGGTAAAACAAGTTTAGTTGGTATTCACAGGGGAATCATCATTCCGGGGTTTCTTAGGTGGTGCAGGATTTCGTCCATCCACAGTAGGGATAATCCTAACTTGGTACAGAAGCTGCCGTGGCTGGTCGCTGCATCGGCACCGAGGCGTAGACCAGACCCCGGCACCGAGGCAACCGAGGCCAAACCGCGCGGAGCGGGGAACCCGCCTCCACGTGCATGGCGCCCTCCGGGCCCATGAACTGCGCCCACCTGAGACACGAAAACCGCGCGAAGCGGCGGGCGGAGCGAAGCCGAAGCACTCCCCCCGGCTCGGCTGAGGGGCGGGTCTTGGAGGGGTTTTTACCCCCTAGTTTTGGGTCTTTGTTTGAAGTAAAACCAGAAGAACAACCACCGATTTTGGGGTTCTTGTTTGAAATGAAACGAGAAGAACCACCACTGCTTTTGGGGGTTAGTTGTATCTTGGGGGGTGGGTTTGAAAGTAAAAACCAGCAGGAAAACCACAGATGGGCCCCGAAACCAAGACGCACACATTTCGACCCCCATGTCCTTGTCAACTTAATCACCGGCCGAGGTGGGTACGACTATTTTTTCTGAACGAAGTGGGCTTTTCCTTGGCTCGACGGTTGAAGATGTCAGTCTTTCGCGCACACCCCTGCTTAAGTCGGAGAAGGGTGTGTCTCAAGATTTGGAGGTTTGGGCAGGAAAAAAAGAGGAAAGAAAGGGTGAAACGGGCACCGAGCCCAAAAAAAGACAATCCACCCATATGGGGGAATGACATGTTTCCGTTGGATCCCTTCACTTTTGGAAAATACAAATAAAAAGACCGTCGCAGCAGACGGACTGAGTCCCTCAACTTTCTGCCATGCCCGACACCCTGCGTTCTCCCTTTCCGGCTTGTGAATGCCCTCCTTCAGCCTCTCCGTTTGAGCTTTCGACACCGGAAACATCGGGATTTTGAGCGAGGGACTTGTGACTTTGACAGGCACCTTACAAGGGAAGCGCTCTTGCTTTGTTGAACATCCCAACCCGGCAAGGGAAGGAGGGACACTCTAGCAGCAGACTCTAGCACCAAACAAGGAGCTCCCACAACCCGCCGGAGGGTTCCAGCCCACATAGCTGTCGCTGACTGAGAACAAAGCGACCTAGGCTTGCCTGTTGGCAAGCAGGGAAAAAGGAAGCGCGCCATGATGTTTGTACTTAAAAGGCGAAATCAGACAACAAACATGTACTGGAAAAAAAGACGCACGTGTGTTGCTTGACTGAGCATCCAAATTTAAACAAAGGGAAAATGGGCGAGAGTGTTCTTAGTTGGTTGATTTCAAAAAACCCCGAGCCAGAAAGCTGGGAGAAACAAGCATGCGCATGTGTCTGTGTTGATATTGAAGAAAACCCATTCAAAACCAAATGAAAACAACGGAACACAGAGACAGATGCTTCCAATTGCTCCACAAATTATTCTGAAACCCAGCTCCAACCCCCCCAAAAAAAACACGCCCCGCCGCATTTCAGCCGACCGATCTCGGCCTCTCAGAGCCGAAGTTCGGGCGCCGTGCCATGGCGGCGATAGAACCGTCCGCTTGGGTAGGTCCCGTGGGAGAACCGCTGGGTTGAAAAACGGCCCCACTTAAAACGCCCCCGCCTTAGGCTACGGGCTTTCTAAGCAAAACATAGGGCTGGCAGAACCTGCGTTTTGAAGGGTCGTGGCTTTCCATGTGAAGGGGAACAAGATCGGCTTAAGCAGAAAGCGGAAACCAGCGGAATCCGGTTGTTGCCAGCACGCCTTGTCCTCTCAAAGCACCTCCAAATGAACCATGGGCTTTGCCTTGCCTTTTGGTGCCCCATTCAAAAAACCCGCTTATTCGTTTTGTGACGAGTTTCCCCTACTGTTTGGTACTCCTTTCAGTCAAAATCGAGTTCCCGAGTATGGGACGGACAAGGGCGAAAAAGCAGCGCGGCGGCTTTGCGCTCAATCAACTCAACCAGAGCCCTCCTTGTAAACTCAATGCAGACATGGGCCCTAAACACCAGGGCACGTAGGTTTTGACCCAGGTGGAAACAGTCGTCATTTGGAGTCAAACCCAATGGACCCCCTTTTTGTTACCCTGTGCCGCTGGAGGGGTTTCAGAAAAGGAGGTTTTCGACCGCCTTTTCTCCTCGAGCCGAAAGTGCCAGGAGTGCGGAAGGGTGCGATCCAGCAGCACGAAGGATGGGCTCACAACACTCTCACAACTGAGGCCCCTGTCAAAAAAGAAGGCCCGGTCAGAGGCTTGAATTGCTCTTCTGTCCATGTCTCGTGAAAAATGGCACAGCCTTTTTTAAAAGTAGGTGGTAGATGGTTAGATGGTCAGATAGTTTGGTAAGATGGGTTCACAAAGGCTTTGGTAGCTGCTAAGGTAGATGGTAGATGGTCAGAATGGTCCAGGTTCCTTGTGGACTTCCCTCGGGCTTCCAGGAAAAGCCCGAGCCAGGCCGTTCGGTGTTCAGAGGCGTTGTGTTTCGCAGAGACGAGCTCTCAAGAGCTGTTTGGAAGGGGGTTCCTGGAAGGGGGTTCCTGGAAGGGGGTTCTTGGAAGGAGGTTCCTAGAGGGGATTCCTAGAAGGATTCCTAGGAGGGGGTTCCCAGATAGGGGTTCCCAGAGCGAGGGGTTCCTAGAGGAAAAACCCTTTTTAGGGGGTTCCCCCCGCTACGGGTGCTTCATTTCTGGGCAAAAGTGGTTGGCACCTCCAAGCCATTCGGCCCATGGAACCTGGCAAACCGAAAAGGGAAGCCACCCCCACAAACCCTCACAAGGCAATGCCGGAACAACTCGTTGAAAACGAGCAGAGATCGCGCAAAGAGAACACTACAAGAGCATCACAAACCCTTCAATCTAGAAGCTGGGCAGACCCCTGAAAACCTAAGCGTTCAGGTCAAACGGTGCCAGGTTCGATCAATTATCCAGCACAACCTCAAACCCTCCCTCAACACCTCTCGGCTTGGGCCTCCGGGGGCATTTTTCTCGAATTAGGTTCCCTCAAAACCCCGTACCCCCAGTGAACATCCCAATCCCCACCAAAATAGACTAAAAATGGGTGGTGCCCCAAAATGGCACCATTGGTTTTGATCCACGGCCAATATCGAAAAGGCCTTTGTGACATGCTGCTCGCAAAGGCTCTCTCCGGAGCTTTTCGCCTCGATCTCGATCCCATCTAGCCTCTCCGCACCCAAAACTTGCTTTGCGGTCGTCGGGTACTCAGAAGAGGGCGAACTGCTTTCGCGCAGATCCGAAGATCTGGTTCTTGTCCACCTGGCCATAGTCAACATGTCTTGTGTCTCCAACATAGAACTTTGGCGAATAACCCCCATTGTCTAGTAAAAATTTGGTGAGCTACCACTTGCAGTTGCCCACCTGAACGGTCTTCATTGCAACTGAACCTAGAGGAAGGTCGCCCAATCCACATTTTCGAGCTGGGATATGGATGTGGCTGATTTTTGGAATCTGCGTGGATGGTGGATCCAAAAACATGAGGCTAAGGTTCGGGAGGAGTCGCCAAAGCTTGGGACACAATCGGAGTGGAACCATTCCACCCAACCCCCAACCCTCAAACCCCCGAATGATTCCGCCAAACCCCCCCCCCCAACCCCCAACCACCCGAAAGAGCTCATCCCCCTTATCACCTATCACCCCTCCCCCCTATAACTTCCACCTGAGCGCTTATCTGAGATGGCCCAGACACGGCGTTGAGCAATCGCCAAATAACCCTACTTGATGAACCCTTCCAACCGAGGTAAACCAGCTACCTCACCCCCGTATCCCAAAGGCTATGGCTCAGTCTTTAAACCGCCAGATGCGTAGATTTGAGTCCATGTATACCAGGGCAACCCGTTTTGGGGGTGTCTTTTTGTTGAAGGTACCCCTCTTTTTTTGTTTGGGGTTCCGCGGTCTTGACCCAGGCTTTCCGCAACCGTTCTCGCCCGCCTTCACCACGTTGAAGCGCACCGTCTTCGCCAAGGGCCGGCACTGCCCCGCCGTGATGATGTCTCCTTCCTCGCACCGAAAAGCATCCAACTCGACTTGCAGCACGACAGTTTATACCCATTGTTCCTGTGGAAGCCATCTAGAGAGTCCTGACCAGCAGCCACCTTTGACGGCACCAGGCCAACGGATACTTCGTAGATGGGAGTCTCTTTGCTGAGGGGGCCTTTGCTTTCATGGTTTCAAACGGAAACCAAAAGGAAAACCAGCCATTTTGGGGGGGCCAAAGAAGGGCCCACCCAAATGGAAAGCAACCCTTTTCGAGTGCCTCGGATACCAAGCAGTTCCTTCTAGGATAGATGTTGGCCAAAACAAACTCCACCCAACTATACCAGCCTTTCGATCGGTGTCTGTACCAGGTTCTGTTTGGGTGTATCATTTAAAGGGCCCGTATCCAAGCCGGTCCAAGCCGAAGCATCAAGCACTTCGTAGGGGTCAGGATCTCCATTCAAGGGTTTGAGGTCCGGTGGGTTGCCAATTGAATGGGTTCCATCACAAATGGGAACGATGCTACACCTAAGAACGTCTTTTGGTGCAAGAAACCCGTTTGCGAGAACCTGTCTAGGGTCCGCTGAATATTGAAGGTTACATTTGGGCCAGTTAAAAAAATGACCTCTACCATCACCTGATTTGGGAGATGGGTTTGGGATGTATCCTTTGAGAATCCTCCAACCAACTGTGAACCGCAAGCTTTTCCTGGCCGAATGGCGTTTTCGCCTTCCGACCATCCCGGGGTTGGGCGATTCAATCCCCTTTGTTCCGCACGTTTAAACAATCGGTAGAGACTTGGTAGCGACGCAGCATGATAAAAGCTAACAGGGGACCCCCCTCTCGAAAGGATAATTCGTGTTTAAAGCCTCCCAAATGGGACGGGATAATCTATATATACATCCGAGGGAGGCTTAGAGCGGGCCCATGCATTTCCCATTTACTATCCATCGTTTGAGCTTCACCTCCTTTTGGCTTGCCTTAATTGGACCAAGGGCCTGCTGATAGCCCCCCACCAACCACCAACCACCACCCAAGCCCACCCCAACCCCACCACCAACCACCCAACCACTTGTAGCCCACCAGCCGCCAACCACCCAATTCAATCCGATTCCATCCCATCCTTGGGCTCGAAGGCAGGGCTGCAGTGCACCGCCATGTTGCTGTGACGCTTCTCGAATCGGTTGAACTTCCTCACGAGCCAATGGGCCCAAATTCGAATCTGCGCGTCTCTTCCCCCAAAGCGGCGCAACGGTGGTCCTTTTGGTGTCCCATTAAAACCAACTAAAAGGGGTTGCAAAAAACAAACACAAAGACGAAGAATGGATACAAATGGGTGTGTTTTGTGTGTTTTAGGGCTCCGGGACCAATTTTGGGCGGTTGTGGTTTCCCGTTGAAACAAAACCAAAAAGGGGATACCAGAAAAACAAAAGCAAAAAAAACACAAAACAACATCCGGCACTTGGTGTGGTTAGTACTGAATGCAAGCCACCTGCCAACCGGTGCGAACAGGAATCTGTCATTCTACAGTAAGGCGGGCAAAAAACGGAAACCCGTAGCCAGCCCTTTTGGGATGTAACATACCTACTGGACCAAAAAACAAACTGTTTCAACATGTGATGTCCTTCAAGGGAAACAAGCCTTGAAAAAACACCGCCCCAGCTCGACTCAACTTGGAAACCGAGCATCCGGCCCAAGTCTTAAACATCAAGTCCCGAGAAGGACGTCAAATGGTTCTTTCCTTTGGGTGGTACCCTCAAAAAGCCACCCACCCCGAAAAGGGTACCCGCAAATAAAGGACAGACTCAGAGCAGTTGCACCACCTCAAAAGTGGTTGTGAGTGTGTCCAGGCCCTTGTCTTGATCGGCCTGCAATTGTTTCCCGAACCCATCAAAAACGGTCCACAGTCTTTGATGCTTATGGCAAGCGAATGGCTGTAGGCCCACATGGTTATGCATTTTGATAGTACACCTCCTGAACAGCGGTTGTGGGACATAAATCCTGAATGGATGATGTCCACAAACATGGCCGACATAGAATTCATACGGGATCCATGTTTTTGGAACCATTTCAAAGGAAAAACAAAACATTAGAGGAATATGACATAGAGAAAAATACTGTTCATCGTATTCCCTCTGTGATGGTTGAAGAAAAGGTAATATTACATAGGAGCCCTCTTCAAACTGAGCTCCAAACAACACCAGTACTCCGAACTTACAAAAATGAGATGACATGAGTTCTTGAAGAAGCATCGAAATCTGTTGAGAAACCACCTCAAAAATGGTTGGTGGACATATGCGGGGTATGAAATCATTTCCCTCAAAAGGTTCCTCTTGCAGGAAAATTCGCACCCCCTCTCAATCACTGATTCTTCCTGCTGACAGCCTTTGCCAAGACTGACTTTGAGGAATGCCAATTCCATGAAAAAAGGTCACCAGTTTCAGGGACGACCCAGGCTCTTGATGTAGTGCAGGTAGTTGCGGCGGATGATGATGGTCCGCTTCATCTTGGTAGAGACGCACATGCCCTTCACCACAGCCCCGCGGATGCTCACATTCCTCAAGCGCAGGCTGCTTGCCGGACAAAATGACCAGAGAAATCGAGTCCCCATTCGTCTCGTTTTGAGACAGGCGTTAACAACCAGACACATACCGGCCCTCGGGACCCTTGGTCCCTTTTCTGGCCAACCGAGGGGGCCAGACGGATCGGTGCACCCACACAAAGTTCAGTTGGAACCCCTAAAAGAAAACCACTTGGTCAAGTCTGACAAAGCCACATGAGACACTGGGTGAGCGGAAGGGTGTGTTCTTCGCTCGGCAACGGGTCTGTCCACGGATACTGGCTTAGCTTTTGGCGCGCTCTGCCCAATTTCGAATCAAACATTGGCATGCTTGAATGCTTGTTTTCTGTTGGAGAGTTTCCCTTGGTTGTGCTTTGGTTCTAGCTTCCAAAACATGACATGAGTGATGGACTTAAATGACTTCCTCATGGTTCATTGATATGGGGTGAAGCCCCGACTTTGCGAAGAAACCAGCGGAAACGGACAACGCCCCATCCATGTTCTCCCCAAATCAACCTTAGGCCGCCATTGTCCCTTCAGATGTTTAGGGGACCCCCCCAAAAAAATCAAAGTGACTTTTTTCCACCAAAACAAAGGCACCCTCAGAAAAAGCCACAGTCATATGGCCATGGGTCAAAATCCCGTACCTTTAGTGAACATCCCAATCCCCACTAAAATCGACTAAAATGGGTGGTGCACCTACCCCACAATGGGATCCCATTGGTTTTGACCCACAGCCCTATGGGTGTGAAAAGTAAAAGTGTGGACCCCAGGAGCAGGCTTCTGTGCAAAGCCAGCGGTGCCGGGACCGCTGGAAAAGTCAGAAACCCCTTGATAAAGTGCTCCGACTGACTCTCAAAAATGTATGGTCCTTTTCGAAGATTCCGTTTCTGGGGTTGGTAAGCAATGTGGAAAGTCACAAATTGAAAAAACGCCTCACAACCCAACACTGGCTCGGAAAGGGTGGGCTTGTCCAAGGCAACTTGTGACCCCGGATGAATAAACGCCAATCTAATCACATGGGGGCGTCCCCTGGTTTTTAATGTGGGTTCATCACATTTGGAGGTGAACACCCCCTATTAAAAAGCCGGGGTTCTTGATCCGGGTCAACATCGGGGCGGCTTGCCAACTGGAAAGTCTGAGAACACCCTAAGCGGCTTCAAAACTAATTGGAGCGGGTGCGACTTCGAGAAAGGGGGGCAGTCAAATACGCCCTCTAGGTCCTCCAGTGGAGAGGTTAGACTTAATAAGGGTACCCTTTTGTCTGTAGTCTATTTTAGTAGGGGAACCCTCCCCCAAAAAAGGGTAAAAGGCACTACTGGGATGGTGAGAACTGATACCCCACCAACTTCAGCCTCAGGCGCCCGAAGCCCATGTGGGCAAGCTCTTGAGAGAAAGACCAAAGGTGCCCTGTGAAGTGTCCTTGAAAGGAGTGCGTTTAAGCCCTTTCATAAGTTGGCAAGACATCTTGTCCAAGAAAAACACCAGTGAATTTAACCAACAAAATAACCTCAACTTGCCCCCATCCAACCCCTTCAGCAGACGCATCCGTGTCCTTTCCTTCCGAGCAAACCGGCCGACGCGGAAAAATATCGCTGAGGCGCCCGGTGAAGGGGCACTTCTTGTCCACGAAGTTCCCCTCCTTGGCCTCCTTCGGCACTGCGAAGCCCAGGCCCACGCTGCGCCAATACCGCACCGCCTGAGCCAGGCGAACGCGCGCGAGCTAGATTCGAGTGCTCAGGGAGAGGTGTGTGCCGTGGGTGGCCCCCCCAGTGGTTTCCCTGTAAAAACCACAAAAGAAAAGGTACCACGCAAAAAAGCATGGAACCAAGTGGAGGATCCCTCATCCTGCCTGTGGATATCCCAGGCAAGCCCATATAGTAGTCAACCCTGCGCTATCATCCTTCAGGTTTTTTCTTGGGTGGCAAGCCCTTGGTTACCCATATGGATCCACTGGGCCCTTCCCAAAATCCGCGGACCTCTCAGGGCTCCTTGCTAGTGCTGCCTGTTTCCGCTCTCGACCGATCAAAATCAACTGATCCAACATGGCAGTTCAAACCGCCCCCAAAAGTAATCTCGCTGGTGCGATAGCTAGGGAAGGAGAAATGGAATGAACACAGCGATTCCCTTGGAAACCACAAGGAATGGTTAAGGGACATTCCCTTTTCCCTGCTGAGAACCAGCAAGGCTCCACTTTTTGACTACAGGCTAGACTTAAGCCCGGGGATGGCGCATTACCCCCAAAAGGAAAAGGAACCGCTTTCTGGGTTCAGGTCTATCTTGGGGTAGCAAAAAAGTAGAACCCTGGGTCCACTAGCATGGAACAGTCTTCCAGGACCCCCTGTTAAGCTCAAAATGTTTGTGGATGGAAGGCAATTTGCTTTGCGAATTCCTCGGGACGGGGGTCGACCTCGACTTCCAAGCGCTTCACTGGAAGGAAGCTGATCTTTGAACTGGCAACCCAAAAGTGATGCCCTTCTTTTCCAATCCAAGATGCCCCTTTGGCCCACCATTCACGGTTTGAGCCCTGCCTTGCCCGGCTTTACTGCAAAAGGCGCCCCGACATCGGGGGGGGGGGGCATCCGATGCGGCAAAGAAAGTCCGACCAGAGGGTCTGTAAGGCTCCATGTGGGAGATGTGAAGAGCAAGCCCCCCCTTCCCAACAGGGAGGTCCCCAGTAGAAGATTGAATCCAAAAACTTAGGCAAGCTTGGCGCATTTGCGTCTTGAATGGTTCTTCTACCTAAGTCTTGGATGAGCTTTCGTTTCCAAACAAACAATTCGCCAAAAAAGAAAAGAAAAACTGAAACATACACTGCCCCTTTCTGTGTGTGTGTGACCGAAAAAGGTGCTGTGACAAGTGCTGGGTTTGGTGTATAGGTCAACCTTTAAAAAAAATCGAACAAAAATGGGGTGGGGTGTCTTTTTGTTGGAGTTGGTACCCCTTGTTTGGTGGTTTTAATGGACACCAAGAGAACGCGCAGCCATTTTTGGCGGGGTCCAACCTAGAAGAAGCCATCCTTACCTGGAATCCTTCAAAAGAAACCTCCGGATCCCAGTCGATGGGGTCTGGTTTTGCGGTCAATCTGTGGATTGGTACGGAAACGGCTGGATTGGTCGGGCGCGTTTACTTGCGTTGTGGCTGTGTGCAAGTATTGCAGTTCATTCAAGGAGGGTTAGGGTGGTTTAGAGCATGCTGGCTTTCAGCTTGATGGCTGCATTCATACCCCGTTTCTATCAAAATTGCAAGAGGGTGGACCAAGTGCATCTCTCGAAAGTTTCGAAGGAAACCCGAGAAAAAGAAAGAAAAAAGAGGACCCCCACTCCCATTTTGCGAGTCCATCCAAAACCAAAAAATGAAAGA